GTTTCAAGCTGATTGGTATGTACCGGTAATGAATCTGTGAAATATTTAGGGAAGTGACGTTACCTAGGTAATTAGAACTCACCCAATGTCATCATCTGAGATACTACTACTGATCAATACTAGACTCTATTGATTTTCCTTAGCACTAAAGCCATATTTATCGTGTGTATGTAAGATCTTGCTGACTGAACTAGAGACTATATAGCAGAACGACCTATGGATTTATATTAACACTTTGGATAAGACAGAAACGACATAATGATAAATCAATGTAATTAACCATAGCTTATAATCAATATACAGTTTACAGATAAATAACTGGTATGTAGTCACTGGATTTAGGTTAAGAATATTATCATCGTTATTAATCACTATTTTTAATATTCAAAGACAACAGCTGTAATCAGAACTATAAAGAATACTTGTTATGTGAAGATTTGTGATACTATTATCTATCTGAAATCTATTTATTAGTATTTTAGAGCCAAGAACTTGTACACACCTATGAATCAACCCATTAAGTTTTATTATGAGTAAAGTTAGGTAGAATATTATAGTTTTTGAGTGAGATCATAAGACCGAGTGCCCTGGATTCGAACCTCGCGGGCGGGATCGTGGATGTACACTGCTGAGAAGTCTTACAATAAGACGAAATGGTCGTCCTGTGCTTCCAGGGTTTTAATATTGGTCTAACATCAATCACTTCATGATTTCAATCAAAAACTTAATAATTTCCACAATCCAATACTGAGAATATTATAGATAACAGTTTTGAAAATGTAGTATCATGAAGGTTTCCTGATAGTAACCAGGCTTTATAATAAGGTTTTGATTGACATCATGAGTCAGTTGAAGTTAGACCACCATGAAGAACTTGGAAACACAGGACGGCCGTTCCGTCCTAGTATAGGACTCCTCAGCAGTGCGCACCCACGATCCCGTACCCCGCGAGACTCGAACCCAGGACCTATCAGTCTCGCACCTAGCGCTTAACCAACTAGACCACTGAGCCGGCATCCAGTGGTATTAATATCTAACCTCAATCAATTCACGAAATTGCGTGACTATCTTCCATTGTACTGAGGTAGACGCCTGTTTCTACCCGACACGGATTAACTCCACTGGTCACGGCTTCTCACCCGAACTCCGAAAATTTTTTCACGAAGCTAGTCACTAGTGAGCGTACATATTAATTATCAGTTTAGTAGTTGTGGAGATTGTTAACTTTTTGATTGAAATCATGATTCATGAGTTATAGTAAATAGTTCTATCATAAAACAATATAGAAATGAAACATTACTCTATTTCAATCAATGTTTTAAACAAACATTAAACTTTTTCATAATATGATAGAAAAGGGTTATTATTAGTTCATATAGTAACTGTCGCTCTATTTCCTTTTATTTTTTGAAACTGACATTAGCCTAAAGAAAATCCATCTCATATTCCAAAAGTGAGTTTTAAGTTTTAATAGATTCATCATTATCATAGTTTTTAAAATGGTAATTAAAAATCATCATCATAATTCTATTTAAATGTTTAACTGCATGAACTAAATACGCTTGACATAAATATATATATATATCCTCATACACAATCTTTCTTCTATACATTACTACTATTGAAGTGAAGAATTTGATGTTCATCTTGTTGTGCGAATGAGATATAGTAACTTGGACCGTTGCAATATATCTGGCTGGTCCTATGTTGTGGCTGACTGACTGACTAAGCATTTTCACACGAGAGTGCGGGTCCAGGTTTGGGTCGTGAAAGTGCATTTTTTTTGGGGGGGTCTGGTGGAAGGACGGTCAAACAGAGATCAGTTCAAAACTTCGATAAAATTCAACAATCACTACAACTCTATATTTAAAATAGTAAATTTTGGAATGATGAATATACACTGTTAACTAGAATAGGTGTATACGTTCAACAGAATTGTGACATAAGTAATCGGAATAAATATAGGTAATATAAGATAACTATCTCATTAAAAATCAGATAAATTGTGTGTGTTAACTAAATTGTGTATGGGAGACTAATAGATTATTACCCCCAAATGCCCTGGTACGGCCGAGAAAGAGGGAGAGTCCGCTCTCCCTCTCGAAATGCTCCCACATGGCCACGCGTATATAGCCTCTGCCAGGAAAGTCCTACTCACTGCCTTCTCGTGGTGGCGGTGTTGTTTACAAAATTAAGAGGACGAAAAGCGAATGTCCGGCGTTTTAACTGGGTTGATGGACATGGAGAGTCCATTTACATGAGTTGGGAAACCCTGATTCCAAACCAATGGTGCACATGGGCTCCAGTATCCTGCGGGAACAAATGGTGTATGAACCAATCGTTGGTCACTGGCTACCATGGGACTGCATCTCCTTAGGATGCTCCACTGCCTTGTGGATCAGACCTTCGGGTCGAAGGTTCCGGGTGTGGTCCCTTAAGAAAACCACCTGCTTCGGTTTTGGCACCCGAACAGTATCACAGCCCTCACACATATCGAATGAGATTTGTGTGGTGCATATGTATTTGGTGCCTCCTTTTACCAATATCTATGTGTTAAAATAAATAATAAATAAATCTATTATCATTGCAAATTCTCAGTAAATTAGATATCAACCTCAAACCGCGAGGTATCTTTAATGGCTACACTATGATTTCAAAGGCTAACATAAATGGAACAAGTTACTGAATAATAATAAGTAGTATATAGTAATGGACAGAACATAAGTTGAATAAGAAGAGAATGAAGATAGAATGTGTGAATGAACTAAACAGAATAGTTACAGTTTACATTGCAGATGAGTTTCAATCGGTGAGCAAATAAAAATAGGATGACAGGCATTAGATATCTGTTCTGTCTGAATATATAAAACTTCTCAAAAATGTAATTTCAATATAGTCTTTTTCAAGAATTTACCAAATAGAGATGGATAGTGGCTAGCAGTGGAATCCAGGACGCGCATTTCGTCCTGCTTGGGACTCGTCAGCTGGATGTGCCTGCATCTCAGAGTTGATGTTCACTCTGGGACTCGAACTCAGTACCGTTCGCTTCAAACACCATCGCGTTATCCACTTAGCTACTGAGTCGTGATAGGCACTTGCTTGTGCAATGGCTTGAAGTTGAATTCACTTGATATTGTTTTACTTGAATTTTCCCATTGATGTTTTTGGACTGAAATTGATCAGTCTCTTATTGGCATATGTGCATACTGTGCGTATGCCTCGATATTGCCTAAATTTACAAGCATTATAAGCAGAGATGGATTCCACTGCTAGCCACTATCCATCTCTGCTTATAATGCTTGTAAATTTAGGCAATATCGAGGCATACGCACAGTATGCACATATGCCAATAAGAGACTGACCAATTTCAGTCCAAAAACATCAATGGGAAAATTCAAGTAAAACAATATCAAGTGAATTTACCAAATAATTTAAAATTTCAAAAGGAATAAAAAAGTAGTATAAGCTTTACAACTTAACAACTGGATCTTTACATTTTTTTTACCAAGAGACAACCGAGTTTTTTGAATTAATGAGCTGATCAATGGTGAATCACCTTTAAAAACCTACAAGCACTGAACGACCATTTCATCTCACTATGCGACCTTTCATTAGTCCATATCCACAAACCCGTACTCGAGAATTGAATTTAGGTCCTTTATTCTCGCATGAGAACACTTAGTCTTCATATCACTGAATTGTTGTTTAACAGTGTGAAGGATTTCTTCTAGGATTAATCACAAGCAAGTTTAAGAAGTGATTCATTTTACAAAGACTTGAGCAGAATCTTTTGTATGGTTGTTCATTCACTATTTTAAAAATAACCGTGAAATGATGATGGTTATTCACGTAGATGACTTATTGAAGAAAATAACATTTATTGAATAGGCCAAGAGGACATTTAAAAAAACGATTCTAAGTCACCAAATTATTTAACTTTTAGATTTAATGAAAACTTTAAGCTTGTACTGTAGTGAACGGAACACGGGTGGGGACGACCGGAAATACTCAACACGAAATTACAGAGCATTTCAATAAAATCTGAGAACTTTATATTAAATCGTTAATTTGCAAAATGTCCACCAGTCGTTTCAAAATTCCTCGGACTTCATTGTTCTTACATTTTCATACAATTTGCATTCTATTTCCACTTTCGTTGTCTTGATCTTCTCTCATCTTCTGCTGCCAGATATTACATTCCTGACTCACATAATATACTACTTATATCAATATAAGTAGCATGCACCATATTACTACCTTTGTTACTGTATAATTGCTTTTTAATTTATTGTCCGGATGATTGCTGATGTAGTGAATTTGAAGATATTGTTTGTATTAATGATTTTAACAGACACTTTACAGAAAAAGGATAAATGTAAAACGACGAAATAACTAAAGATTTTTAACTTCTAGAGATTTTCATAAATGTTATGAATAAGGAAATAGAGTTAGAACAAGTGCTTTATCAAAACTAGGAATTATTTTACAAGTGCATAAGAATAACGCTTTCTAAATTTGGCAAACTTGAGTTTTTGTGACTTCAGTTGACATATGCTTTGTCAATAAAAATTTTAAGTTTCATACAAGAGGAATCTGGAGCGTGTCCAAGACCTTTCTGTGCATTTTACGACTTCCTTACATACTTACACCTGTTACTCCGAATGGAACATAGGCCGCCGACCAGCATTCTCAAACTCACTCTGTCCTGAGCATGCTTTTCTAGTTCCTTCCGATTGTTGTTCATTTTTCTCATGTCTGTCTCCATTTCTCCATGTAATGTATTCTTTCGTCTTCCTCTCCTCCTTTGGCATTGAGGATACTATGTGAGGGCTTGCATTGTGACACAGTTGGGTGCTTTCCTCAATGTGTGTCCTATCCACTTCCAGCTCTTCTTCCTGATTAATTCCTCCGCTGCAATCGGGTTTGTTCTCTCCTACAATAGGTTGTTGTTGCTAATAGTGCCTGACAAACGGATACGAATTATTCTGTGTAGACAACTGTTAACAAACACCTGTATCTTCTGGATGATGGCTTTCTTAGTTCTCCAGGTTTCCGCCCCATACGGTAGAACTGTTTTGACATTTGTAATGAAAATTCTGACATTGGTGTTGATTGACAGGCAGTTGTTTTGAGTTCCAGATATTCTCCAGTTGTGAATATGCTGCTCTTGTTTTGCTGATCCACGCTTTCACATCTGCATCAGATCCACCGTGTTCATCAATGATGCTGCCCAGATATGTGAAGGTTTTCACCTCCTCCAAATCCTCTCCGTCAAGTATGATTTGATTGTTGCATGTTGTGTTGAGTTGGAGAATCTTGCTTTCCCGTTTGTGAATGTTGAGACCTACTTCTGCTGAGGCTGTTGCTTCACTGGTCGTCTTCTCCTGCATATTGTTACGTGTGCGATAGAAGAGTCAGATCATCTGAGAAGTCTAGATCGTCCAGCTGCATCCTAGCTGTCCTCTGTATCTCATGCTTCCACTCAGATTTTGACGTCTTCATAATCCAGTCAATTACCAGGAGGAAGAGAAAGAATGAGAATAAGACGTTAGTGTCTTTTTCTGTTGAAGGATCTTGAATAAGCACACCGGTTCCACAAAATTTTAAAAACATACTGTTCAGTCAAATTTCTCATTGATGTTATTCTTCCTCAATATTATAATATTTGTATGTATTTTTCTTTCTTTTAGTCTGCATTCATTGAAGAGTTATGTAATGAAGATTATAATTCAAATAACACATTTTGTATGAATACAGAATTAGATAAACAAGAATACTTTACAAATTTCGATAAAACAAATGATCAAAATGTTATTGAAATATATGAAGAACAGGATAATATAAACGAATTATAAACAGGGATATGAATAATAATGTTTCATCAACATTCTATTATGCCATGATGATGATGGGCAAATCAACCGGTGTTGATAATACAGTTATGATACTCTGATTAAATTATCAAGAACGATGTTAAATCAATCATTTATGTAATAAAATTAATTCACTGATTATCATTGTTTTATCATCACCAAGGGGTAGTATACCGGATGATTAGTCTTGATAGTTTAGCTTCTTGGTAAAACAGAATTTATCTAAAACACAAAGTAACAGTCTGAGAAAGATTGATTTTATTTCACTTGTAAGGGTTTAATTCCTCCCGTTGTTTATGTTATGGACTGTAATTGATCAGTCCCTTTTGGTATATGTACTTTTTGAGCAGATTGTCTCAATTGAGACAACAGTTACAGGCATTTTGAAGCAGAGAAAGATTGTGGCTAGTAGAGGAATTCAAAACGCGACTTTTGTCTTATTTGGAAATTGTCAGCTGGGTGTCTCTGGATTACACTGGGGCTGGAACTAATAATGGCATCAACATTATATCCTTTGAGTAAGTTAGTAGCCACCTGGACTCAGTAGATTATTTAATGATGCCCTACGTATTTTGAGCGAAAGGTAATTGGCTCGAGTACAGGTGTTGTGGTGTATGCTACTTATACTGACAGATATAAGTAGTGTATAGCGGCATTTGGAAGTGGAATGCCGATCAGCAGAAGATTGAAATGAAGAAAGCAGGAAGAAAATCGGAGAGCAATCGAAATAACAACAGAGTTAGGAGAACAATGTATTATATAAAGGACAACGCAAAGAAGCTGTAAAAGTGATGCATTTAATGTAAGATTTTCATATTTTACTAAGTCACTGTGTGAATTGACTTCACACTCATGATTTACCGCTCACTACAGTGTGAACGTCAGTACTGGTATACAAGCACATGCAACTGACGAGCCCCATACATGACGAAACGTGCGTCTTGAGTCTTGCTAGCCGCTACTAAAACTTTGCTTGACAAATCCGATCTGGACAACGCAATATATATATATATATATATATATATATATATATATATATATATATATATATAACTATTTCTAATCTTTTGGATAATGGCTGTGACTACTCGTACGGATAGCACATTTCAAAAGTACTTGTCGCTTTCACTTGGATTTTCAGTGTCAGTCAATAGATTATTTATTAAGCTACCAAATTAGGTCTAATCGAAAGGTTTATACACACTTTTATGATTAATTCGTTCCATTCCCATAATTTCAGTCAACTACATCGTGTATTGTTTGTAAATATTAACTTACTATGAGAATATTAGAAAGATCGATCACTTTGTGGGTGTAACACAGATGACATAATCATATCTTCTACTTTAAAAAAAGAAGAACCTAAATAACTCCGATATGATATGTTGTTATTTCAAGGTTCTAAAGTAATTCACAATGACTGTTCATTTCTACATCAAACTTCATTGTCACTTAGTGTTTAAGAAAACTATCTAACGATAAGTTTGCAGTACTGATAAAAATAACATTGATCTCTTTTCTAAATTCTATTTTACTATTTATGCACCATGCATAGATTATCCATGAAATTGGTATATAGTTATTATTATAATTTTAGAAGCGGAGATATATGTGGCGCCATCTGAATGTACCTGCATCCTGGAGTCGATGTTCACTCTGGGATCCGAACCTAATGTTGTTTGTTTCAAACGTCATCACGTTATTCACTTGGTCACTGAGTCCAAACGAAGCTTAATTCATTTGTACTAGTCGTTTGAATTTTCTCATTGCTATTCAATTTTGCAATTGATCAGTCTCTTTTTTGCATATATCCATCATCTGCAGATTGCTTCGATATTGTCATTAATCCATAAACATTATAAGCTGGTACATCCAGTTGACAAGTCCAAAATTATACAAAACGCACGTCATAGATTCCACTGATATCCATCGTACATCTCTGCCTATAATGATTATGACTTAATGACAAGATCGATGCAATCTTCGTATAATGCATATATCGCCAAAAAGAGATTGATAAATTGTAGTCATGAATGTCAATAAGGAAATTAAAACAACTAATACAAATGGTTTGTAATATTAGATTTACGAATTTTACACTTCTGTGTTCAATACATTTGTTTTTTGGATTAGGCCGAAATGAATGAAACTAATTAAACTACAAATTATTACGTTAAACATGATCAATTGGAATTACAGTGTTTTTGATGTGATAATTTGTGCTGTCTTCTTCTTCTTCTTCTTATGATTGTTTGTCCCGTTTCCAAGATCTACTTTAACTTCATTAATGTTATGTACGTTAAATCATTGTTTCTAATTATACATATTATCATAATTTGTAACTAGACTATTTACAACTGATGAGATGTGGTTAAATACAAATATGAATTCATTTTCACTTTTGAAAGTTTGTTGTGAATATTTTGTTGGAAAAATGAAAAAAATTTTCCATCTAACGCAAGTCTATAGGTTGATAGAAAGTATAGAATTGTGTTTCAAACGAACCAACTGTTTTTGATGGAGTTTTGTTCTTGTGGTCATGGAATTCTCGTCGTTCTTCTGAAAGACATCATCAGCACAAACTTTAGGTAAACTTCTAACTCCACTACCAAACCATCCAGCTCAGAGAACAAAACTCCATCAAAATCAATCCACTTGAGCTACAAATCTTCGTCACCGTATCAGAACCAACTGTTGTATGTCCATTAGGTAACGATTACTACTAATGTAGACTCAATAGTAGATTTTAGGATTACTTGACATTCTTTTTAGTGACACAGCATCTCACTTTGGAAATACAATAAATAAATAAAAATAAAATTCAGAAAGAAAATATCATTATAGAGTTGATGAGTAAATTGTATACTGTTTGAGAGTAAAAATATGGACCTTTGTATTTCAACTCGATAATCCCTAAATGTGACGCGCCCATTGAATAACTTGAGAGTCCTCGATTTGATCAGTGTCACGATTGTAGTTAAACACTGATGACAAGTTCTGTAATAGGACGAATCGTTTCTCAAATCTTGTCTATATTTTATTAGTCGTTCAGTTGACATTAAACAGTGATCAAGATCCCCCGAATTTAGATTTTGTTACATTACTACAGATCATAAAGAAAAACCTAGCGAAAATTCAGTACAATACATAACAATGTATTTACACTAGATTTGCATAACTCTTTCAGTCATGTGAAATATTGGCTTTCAAGTATACAAACATCATTCTTATGTGTTCAATTTAATCACTTTACCACCGATTATTCTCAATATTATTTTGATCCAATTTTTGAATTATGTATGATCTGTAAATGAAAGAAATTCAAATTATTATTTTATGTATTCATTTAATTTAAAACAACATAGATATAAGCGAACAATATTGTTTTCGATTAGATCCTCATCATGCTTTACTCTAATAGACAGTAATATATACATGAATGAAATGACTCAGAATCGATCACAATGGCGTCGGAGTATACACTGTTTGTCTTCCTTTAAACTATAAAATTAGAATCGCTTTATATCTTTCTTTCTATGAAATAACTAAGCCCTTATTATTCTTATCACAATTAGTACCTGAAGTTTATGCTGATGATGATGTCGTTCAGAAAAACGATGAAAGCTCGACGACCAAACTATCCACCTCAGAGAACAAAACTCCATCAGAAACAACTAATACACCTGTCATCACATTTGTACTTACTCACTTATTATGTTTAGTTATGCAATCCATTCCACTGTTATTATTGACTATCAATTAAGGGACGAGTGTTCTGCGTGGCAGTTCGTTCCGTTCTACTTTATAGCTGCGAAACGTGGCCATTAAGGGCATAAGATACGCGGAAGTTACTAGTATTTGATCACGGATGTCTTAGAAATATTGCTCGCATCTGTTGGGATCATTGGATAAGTAATAGTGAAGTTAGAAACAAGGTATTACGGAATGATCGTAAATCAGTTGATGAAATTGTGAATCTTCATCGACGAAGATGGTTGGGTCACGTATCACGTATGCCTAAACACCGACTACCAAGATGTGCAATGCTGAATAGTGTTGGGGATGGTTGGAAGAAAGTTAGAGGGCGGTCAAACCGAAACGTGGCATCAGTCCACAAATTCACTAACTTCTAGTTTTAGCCATGTTGGTAGATGCAGACTACTTGGTTGGGATCCGCGTGATTATAGTAACCAATGGTTTGAGACTCTGAGTGACATGGTTCAGAATCGATCAAAATAGTGTCGGTATATACACTCTTTGTCTTTCTTTAAACTATAAGATTAAAATCGCTTTATATCTTTCTTTCTACGAACTAATTCTTTCGTCCTATACTATGCCCTTATATACAATCTTTTCTCTATATATGATGATTGAATCGAAATACAATATTGTTCGTTTATATCTGTGTTGTTCTAAATTATAGTGTGAGAAAGTTTTCCAAAAAATTCATTTAATTCCATCAAACTTACATACACATTTTCACTGTTTTTTCCTGAATTTTTATACGAAAATTATGAAATAATTCTTTCCAATTTAATTGTTCAAATTTTTCTATTCTAATATGTATAGATATAAAAATAAAAAAAAGAGGTTACATAATACTAACGATTGATTTCACTGGTTGAAATCATGAGTCAATTGAAGCTGGACCACCATGGAAAACCTGGAAGCACTGTACGGCCGTTTCGTCCTATTATGGGACTGTTCAGCAGTGCCCATCCACGATCCCGCACCCCGCAAGATTCGAACCCAATGGTGTACGGTGGCGCAACTTCGTGGATTGGTTGAAGTTAGACATTAACACTGTTGGATGCCAGCCGGCTTGATGGTCTAGTTGGTTAAGCGCCTGGCGCGAGACTGATAGGTCCTGAGTTCGAATCTCGCAGGGTGCGGGATCGTGGATGCGCAATGTTGAGGAGTCCCATAATGGACAAAACGGCCGTCCGGTGCTTCCAGGTTTTCCATGATGGTCTAGCTTCAATTGACTCATGATTTCAACCAGTGAAATTTCTAAAAATCTTCACAAAACCCATTCTGATACTAATAATGATTGAAATGAAGACAAAAAAGTTAAATAAACGAAAAACATGACAATGTTATAACTTTTATTTTCCAAAAAAGAATTAAATCAACGAGTTTATCTATTTATCTACACATCTGTCTAATTCTAATTTGATGAAGTTTTGTTCTCTCAGCTGGATGGTTTAGTCGTGAAGCTTTCATCATTCTTCTGAACGGCCTCATCAGCATAAACTTCAGGTAAAAGTGAAGTGTTCGAGTTTTTCATTCATTAAATACTTGGACAGTAGAAGACGGCTATTATACACAGTATGCTTTAAATAGTGACATTAAAAAACTGATGTGTGTATCTCAATATTCTGGTGATACATTTGCTTCTTCAACTTTTTTAAATTTGCTAATTCTTATCTCCTATAACGTATACCAGTCAAATTCTAATTCATTTAATATTTGGATCATACATACTCCATAATGATAATTTGCCAACAAGGATACTAAATATCTATTTTTATACGTCTTTAACGACAAACTTAAAACAATATTGAAAACACATGTGTTGAAAATAAAAATAATATATTTGTAACAATCAACCCAATGCTCAATTTATTCGAAATTATCAAATCAAACCTTGGTAATGACACCTACATGTGTTGAAGTTGTAAATTTGAAGCAAACGAAACGTTAAAACTCATGAGGTTGGGTAGATTGGATAAACTATTATCCTTGGATAACATTATTTGATATTCACTTCACTGTGTATCTTATGGTTCTTGATCACAGAAACAGTATTATCATGGATCAGTCACTTTTTTCATTTTATTCTGTATAAGAGCATACGTATATTGGATGTTTAAACTCATTACACTAGGTTTATATGCACTTACATACAATTAAATCATTACAGTAGCCTTCACTACTGTTATAACGCTCGGTTTTACTTCTTCCAATGTTATAACGGTTGGGTTTCCACGTTTACACATATAGGATCCTGGATGATACTTAATGACTTGAGTTTTAAGGTTGCTGTTTGTCGTGCTAGAAGCAAGCCTAGTTTTGATACTAGGTTTTTAGGCGTTTCCTTCTCTCTGAAATTTTGAAGGCAGGTACAGAAGAAAGACTTCCTTTCTTGGACTTTTTTCTAACAGGCCTCTACATAGGCTGTCTGTTATAACGCTCGGTTTTACTCCTTCCAATGTTATAACGGTTTGGTTTCCACGTTTACACATATAGGACGTTAATTTACCTTAAACGATTATTTAAACTAGATTCCCTCCTAGTGTCTATTCTACAGGACGTCAACACAATTCAGATCAAGAACACGTGATTAGCCTGACCATAATGTAGATATATTTCCACACCAAAACCCAACACAATCCAACAACAATGAACAATCAATAATAAGTGAGTTGTAATAATAATAATAATAATAATAATAATAATAATAATAATAAGGACAGGGAATATATAACTCATCTGACACCTGACAGACGAACTACATGTCTGACTAAGCAGATAACCAACCATTATCACTCTCACCCACACATCAACTACCTACCAAAAATGTGTACATTACTAAAGCTCTAAATTGTATCATTTAACATTGTGTATTAGTCTACGTCACAGGATTGGAAACAAGCCACTCACCTTTTCGCTAAATCTTTAAACTCGTTTGCCAAACATTCAAAGTCATCCTCCATTTTCTTCATGAATGAATGAATGTTAGTACTGATGGCGTTGTTTTCATCTGTTTCAAATGAGCATGTTTCTTTCAACAATAAAATGGAGCTATCAATCTGATCTTCCTGTAAAGTATTTGAAACCATCTTAGGACTACTCGAAAAAACCTGGAAAATAGAAATTCAACGATGTTTGCAAAAAGAGTACAGCCAGCATCCGTCGTGTAACGTATATTTATTGAACCCGTCCCTTATTTTGGGATAAATAAAGCATTATCTGCTTACCGAGATTTCGATACAACTATACAGTCTACAAATTTTTATAGACGTCTGAAAACATAGACTTTCTAAAAGTGGAAATTTTTATTTATGACCCAATTACTTTTTAGGAATCATGATTCGATCGTATGGATGAAGCTATTGACTATCAAGATCTCTAGACCTAAATGGGTTATATGTTGGTATTAGTTTCCAAGAAATATCTACAGTTTTACGAGTAGTGATATCTTTAATAAGATTTAAACCAGAATCAAAATTAGTGCTGTTACCGATGAGACAACTGAATTTCTATAGAACTAAATAATTATGCTAACTGATTACCGGCTAGTAACTAGTGTCAATTGTTAATCGACACGGTAAGCTGATCAGAAGTAGCTTAATAAGAAGTTCGATTGATGGCAATCAGAAGTGACCTGAAGGACAAGTGCATTTCATTAGCTAAGAAATGGATTGATTTCCTATGGGGTAGAGTTGCATATACATAAATGAATATTTTTGCACTTTATTTGGTAGCCCAGTATATTTTGTCGTTCACTCTTGTGTTTTTGCTCAGGCAGTCAGTTGAAGGGGTTAGTGTGTAGCACGCCGTGCATCAGTATTATATTTTGGACACCGCTCGTCACGACATAATTCAGATTCTATCAGTCATGATGCATCGTCGCCGCTCGCTCGAGTAGCCTGGTATCGCTCTCTGTATGCAAAGTTCCGTTTTCTACTCATCCTGTTTTCATTGGTGCTAAAACCGTTGATCATATAGCCCAGTGCATGGTATCTTATACAGACATAAATAATGTATGACCTGGCATAGACGATAATGGTCTCGAGTTGCCTCACCACTGTGAAGTCAACTTGATAAGAAGTATAGCAAAGGACTGGCAATAATCATATTGTCAATGATATTATACTCCAACCATATATAAAGTAACTCTGTTTAGAGCCTTTAATATGTCTGTAAACGTCTTAAGGAGATCAATGTTCTACAGATAATCTTAGAATACAGACTAGATAAATAAATGAAGACCAAGCAGCTGAAATAGAAGACATGACATTCCTGAGTAGAGGTTGGATGATGAAATCAATTGGTCAGTGCCTTAGTATCTTTAGACGTCCCTCGCTGTATGTAGTTACTCGATAGATCAGTAAGACCCTGAATTTAACGTATTAAGTCCAAATAACCTAAAGACCATAATAAATTTTGTTTATGCATAACATGTCTCTATCCTAACTAGTAGTCATCATAGTCTAATAGTATACCAAATCCTAGAAGCTAACCTATTTCAACGGAATCATAAAAGGCTTGCAAATGTAAATCAAGCTCTTGAGTATGAATGAATTTATTTGGAAACAACGTTTTTTCTAATGCTTTAAGTAATTTAAATATCTAGAGAATAATTTGATGAGAAATAGTAATTAAGATCAGTTATCACGTCAGCGCGAAAAAAAGCTGTATATTATATTCGTTATCTAGACAATTAAAGCACTTTTATCTACAGTTTGGTCGGATCGGAAAGAATTTTCATTGTTTAATCAATGAAAAACGATGAAAATCCTTTACATACATTGATGGTATTTGAATAAAACAAAATAACAATTTACATATCACGAATAAGTTAGACGCTTTAACACCTTAAGTGTAACAAAACTAATGAGGTTTGGTACAAAAAGTGCGGATTAAAGAAATGGGTTAGTTTGAACTTATTTTCAACTTATTAAAGAGGTTACCATCAATAATTATCTGCTGAAATGATGACACTTAACCCTAATTAAAGGTCGGAACTATGAGGACGTTTTATGTAGTGTATAGACAAGTGTTGATATCAAATTAATATTCATTTCTAAGAGAGTAAAGTTAAACTAGGCTGATTTCAGAGACGGTTCTCTAAGGAATAGTGTTACCTTTGTGGGTGTACTTTTAATTCCAGGTGATCGGCAAACAATCTGATTTTGCATTATTTCCTCACTCCTTGGCAAATTAGGTCCAAGCCAAAGTAATAAAGATTCTAGTTCTTTTTTCACTGTTTCGCGAACTCGACCATCCAGCCCTTTTAGGAAAGTCATTCAAAATAGCATACATCTGACATAGAAATTTCACATTATGAAAAAATATTGCACATTATTTCATTCAGATTTATTTTATGTCTCAGATTTGTGTTTAACAACAATTAAGAATCTATTCACTTTGTTGCGGATTCGACATGTTTAAAAAATGGGTATTATTCCGTTTAGATTATGTTAAGGTTGACCAAGCAAGACAAGAACAGTCTTCGATATTAGTCAGCATTAATTACAACTCTAATCAAGTTAAATATTAGACAATATGGCAGCAAAGTTCAGCATCCAGTTTGTGGTCAAGTTTTAATTCAATAGTAAGTTACTGTTTACTAGCAAAACAAACGCACTTTGAGCTGGGATAATTTCTCTTTCCTTATTTTATCTTTATGGTGTTGCAAAGGATACTTTACCAAGCATGTACACAAAAGCAATGGACTTTTGTACAGCTTTATTGAATGCTTTTCTACTAAGTGATTCGTTTATATAAAAAATGTGTTAGAGAAGTGTATGGACAAAATATGCTGATTTTTCAATTGCATATTGTTTCAAGTGGCACACATTTGTAGTTTTACTCACGTTCGTATTGGAAGACGCTACTGGTTAATGCGTTGTCAAAACTCCAAATACCTGCGGCATCTTCACCCTCTTGTTTGGAAAAATCCGTATTTATTGTGAACATATTTTGTCTAAAAATTTTATTAACTTTATCAATAAGACATCATGGTACGTGTGATATCCATATTAAGTAGTAAATGCCTAATTATATCTCCATAAGGAGATCTATGATGTCAGAAACATACAAGCTTTAGGTTCATCTACTAAAATATTGATGAATGAAGACACTCAGGACTTCGTTCGAATTGTGTAATTAGCTTGCAACATATGTCCATGCAATCAATTCCAAGTTTTAAGTGAAAGTGTATACGAAATGATAAAAATTATATGGAAATGATGATTTACTTGTAAAGAGTATGTCTAATCTAATTCATCTTTCTAGAACCCCCATGAATAGAAAGAAGTAGATAATTGTAAAGATTTTTTCTATTTATAAAATAAAATTCCTTAGGAATGTGTCACATTTTTGATAGCCCATAAAAACAAAGCAAAGATGCTAAAACCTACGTTGGTAAAGTAGTACGGATATCGACAGCTAAAGTTTGAAACTTGGACTTCTAAAATGGAGTTTTCGAAATGGAATATCTCCTCTGCAATCATTTGAAGAATGGGTATAATGGTTTATTTCAGATTGAATATATAGATTGGTGTATTGTTTTGCATGTCTGTCGTTAACAGCCACGTGTTCAAAAGTTTTAAAGAGCTACAACAACACGTTGCCCATGCAATGACCGTAGTTTGCAGTGAATTCAAGTATATAGATTGTTGTGGACTGCCCACATAACTTAGTTCAAACATTTAAAGACGTGTTAGTCCATGTTATTCTTATCATTATTTGCTTAGGAGCCCCACACATATACTTTACTCCGAACTTTTCATACGAAAAATACCTATAGGTTTTATTTATTTATTTATTTATTTTAAAACATAGATATTGGTACAAGGAGGCGCCAAATACATATGCACCACATAAATCTCATTCGATATGTGTGAGGGCTGTGATAGTGCCCGGGTGCCCAAACCGAAACTGGTGGTTTTCTTAAGGGACCACACCCGGAGCCTTCGACCCGAAGGTCTGATCCACAAGGCAGTGGAGCATCGTATGGAGATGCAGTCCGATGGTAGCCGGTGACCAACGATTGGTTCATACACCATTTGTTCCCGCAGGATACTGTAGCCCATGTGCACCATTGGTTTGGAATTCAGTTAAGGCGCCGGACATTTGCTTTTCGTCCTCTCATTTTCGTAAACAACACTCGTGGTGCGAGAAGACAGTGAGTAGAACTTCCCTGGCAGAGGCTATATACGCGTGGTCATGTGAGAGCATTTCGAGAGGGAGAGCGGAATCTCCCCAGTCTCGGCCGTACCAGGACATTTGGGGTTAGGTTAGACACAAACCTATTAATAAATGTTGAATAGTTATACTCATCGAGTCTACAGTATTTGACAAGAAATAATGATAAATAGGGTGTTTGAAACAAGCTGTATGGCATGCTTTGCTTACCCTCTATCTCAGAAGCATTGAATTTCAGCAGGAAGTCAACCTGTAGTAGTTGTCACAAAAGCACGGATTGTTACCTGTGATCTTAGCAACTTAAGATTATTACGAATGAGAGTACACTGGTTTCTAAGCTCATGAAATTAAGCATTTAGAGGTTACTTTATGAGACTGTTATCTGTGTTACTTCGTTTGGTGGCTTCTTGTGAACTGAGAAAGGACGTATTTAGTGAACCGGAAGATGATTCAGTTAGAGACGTTTTCAGCGAATCACCATTCTGTTACAACAAAAAATTCCAGTATTAGTATAATATGCAATTTCATACCTTGTTCGAGCAATTATCTTTGATTTTTGACCAAGACTTAGTGTCATCATTTTCTTCATCTTTAGCATACTCGCGTAGGAACTTCGAAAATCTGTCAGACAGTGGTGAGATGTTGTTAAATGCTTGATAAGAGCGATTAACTGTCCCGTTTTTCCGTGAGACTAATTAAGACTTACATATGTCATCTTGCGAACAAAACGAACTCATTCCCACGATTACAGAAAATACTTTTGAATAGCCGCACGTAGTGGAGATACAAAAACATACTAAAAATTGACGGATTGTATCGTAGCATTTATTATTTTTTGTACGAGGTTTTCTCAGAGTGAACTTATGCGCTCAAGGTTTAAAACTATTGACAGCACTAGAAGGATATACGAAGGTATTACAGCACTTAAATCGCTAGATATTCAAATGGTTGTGGACAGAATGAAAGAAGCTTTCGCTCAACGAGCTTCCGTGTCTAGTAGTAGTGGATCACAGACACCTCCATGCAAGAACCTAGGAAGGAAAAAGTAATAGGTAAATCATAGTAAAATATTATCCTTAGTCATTAATAATAGGTCAAGTTTCCTCTTAAAGAAATCCTGGTAAGTAACCTGGACTAGCTTAGCCGGCAGCGAATTCCAGCATTTGAATTCTCTTAAGGAGTATAAGTTGTCTCTGCAAACCGTACTGCTGTGTTGCCCCTAGTTTCTGGGTGCTACCCCTTAGGTTTGTGTTGAAGCTAAACGTAAGTAGGTGTTGCGTAGCAGTTTCACTTTGTATAGGACAAGAGGTCAGTTAGCCTGTGTTAGTCCTGGCAGTGATGGTCTCTCACTTGATACAACTTTCTTTTGAAAGAGTCGACAAATGGAGCTTCAATCACGTGTTGAAATAATGAACTCCATTTGTCGATGGTTCGATGGGAAGTTCAATAATCAGCTGACAAGTAATTTGTTCTAGGCTTGAAGGCTATTGAGGAGTGTCCTTGCAACTTCTCTGTTTTGGAAGGCAAGAAGCGCTTTAGATGCAAGTTTACCACTGAGTAATTTAAAAACTGTGATCAAGTCGCCTCTGGTTCTTCTATATGACAGCCGAAATAGGTTGAGTTCAGACAACTGAACATCATGTAAGAACTGTGCTAATCCGGGAATCGACTTAGTTACAGTTCTTTGAACGTTTTTCTACTGCCCACTGTCAGATTTTAGGCAGGCGCTAGTCGTTTGCATGCAATAATCGAGTTTAGGACAAACGAATACCGTATTCGAAGTCGAAAAAGTTTTAGCATCGGCATGAGTAACGACCGTGCGTATTGACCATACGATTCTAAAACCTTTGGCGGCTGTTGCACGGCCATGTGCATTAGTCCTTAAGTATTGGCCAATGAAGACTTCTAATTCAGTACGTCTGGAAAACTGTGATTAACCGTGTATATCTGTACCTTGATGACCAATATGCATCATAATGGATTTGGAAGCATCTACGGGCAACTTCCAAATCTAAGACTTATCAGATAATTTTTTCAGGTCATTTCAAAGCTCCAAACTATCACCTCTACTTTTTATCGCTCTCCGTATCTTGACATCGTCAGTACATAACAAAACCAATGGTGTTAGGACCAGTTTGAGGATAATTGAGATTTGCCACTATTGTTATCTACTAGTGATGTATTATTACTGTCTCCGCATAATGATTGAACATTTCTTCTCTTCTTAGCCCTTTGGTTTATATACGCGTATAAGCGTTTAGAGTATCCTATAGACTCTCTAACAAGTGTTTCTTCGTAAGTCTTTTTGGACTTGCGGAGTGTCGAAATATTTCGAGCTTTCCGATATTGGTCACTATCCAGTAACCCGAATTTCTCTCACATTCTGCTCTTACGGGGTGGGGTGCAGGCCTCCCTACTGAACTACAGTGGGGAGTTTCTCACTCACTGTTTGGAGGACTAGTCTTTCTTTAACAACATTAGGTCATTTTCTCCTCTTGGTCTGCACCTATTCATCAACCTAGATTGGAGTAGCAATCACAGACACGTCACACATAGTGTAGGATCCTGGATGATACTTAATGACTTGAGTTTTAAGGTTGCTGTTTGTCGTGCTAGAAGCAAGCCTAGTTTTGATACTAGGTTTTTAGGCGTTTCCTTCTCTCTGAAATTTTGAAGGCAGGTACAGAAGAAAGACTTCCTTTCTTGGACTTTTTTCTAACAGGCCTCTACATAGGCTGTCTGTTATAACGCTCGGTTTTACTCCTTCCAATGTTATAACGGTTTGGTTTCCACGTTTACACATATAGGACGTTAATTTACCTTAAACGATTATTTAAACTAGATTCCCTCCTAGTGTCTATTCTACAGGACGTCAACACAATTCAGATCAAGAACACGTGATTAGCCTGACCATAATGTAGATATATTTCCACACCAAAACCCAACACAATCCAACAACAATGAACAATCAATAATAAGTGAGTTGTAATAATAATAATAATAATAATAATAATAATAATAAGGACAGGGAATATATAACTCATCTGACACCTGACAGACGAACTACATGTCTGACTAAGCAGACGACCAATCGCAGTCATTATCGCCCACACTTCATTGTCTCTTCTCCGTTGACCTGTGCATGTCAATAGACTTGTTTGATGTAACTTCACAGTGATTTATCGATCGACCAAGCAAGTACCTTTTGATGTGTCTCGAATGAGCTTGCCAATGCTCCTTTAAGCAGCATTCACCATTGCAATGGCTTTGAAAAGAAAGCTGTTAGCATCCGGGCAGCATTGCTGACAAAACCACACGCAACTGTTTTTACTAAACCGCTTGGAGGTCAAAGGCGTTGGACCGTAGAATTATGGTTTACTATGACATAAGAGCTGCTCTAATAATAGACCTAGTTCTAAAATTGCAGATTTGTCATGATGCAACTACTTAATCTATAAGATCTTACGCCGACGTCACATCATATTCTACACTGACTCATCGTGTCGCAACAAGTACTAATATGTGATGGTAAGCAAATTCTGGCTAGAGATAGAACAATTTATTTAATATGAGTAACAGTGAGTTGTATCGAGCGAACATGCCTGTGAGGTTAAGTCATGTCATCCGACCAATTCGAATTGATTTAATCCATTCTTCCCTCCTTCTCCATCGTTGGATTTTTCTCCGCGTTAAAGGTTGAATGCCTATTTTCCCAGTTGTCTCCTATTCAGCTTTGAGGATTGTGTAGTTAGGGCACAATGACACTACAAGAATAATGCAAACTTTGCAGTATCATCTTTTGCACTCATTACACCGAATGACGCTTTCCACAGGGTATCAAAAGAATGAGCTTTGGTATTTCCTGTTTTGCATTGTCCAGTTAAATAATCAGAGTTTGTCTAAAAGAAGCTAGACACGAACAATACCTAAAAACAGAATGAACTGATGACCAGAAAAAAGTGAAAAACTAGATTGTTAGAACCATAATTTCAAACAAATACAAAAAAACCGATCTACTCAAGAGTACAGATGATAACTCATTTTTGAAAAAACGATACCGTTGGTGAATAATTCAACTGAAATAAATTCAGTTAAAACGACAACTGTAGTATTGATGGGCAATAAATGATCAAAGCAATAAGAATACCACTGTCCTCTTTAAATCGAGCATTTCTCAGTCCATTTCAAGTTCTAAGTTTCAGTTAGTTTTATATCTTCGTGTTACACGAAATGTGAAGTTCTTGTTTTGTACTCAGTTTAATAGTGACTTTTATTAGGCAAAGTGGATTATAATACTCTCTCTGACATGTATTTGTAGATTCTCTCCTTATTATCATAGTAAAACAGCCATTTTTGGTAGCTTTGACGTTTATAATCTAGCTGTGTTTCGTCACCCATTTACCAGATTTGTGCTTCCATTTTACACGTATATGTGGACAAAAGCCATGTGTTCCTGGAGATACGTATCTGCACAGGGATGGTATTAATGTGATTAAGACATATATCAGTGTAATGGTATTCAGATGGTGGTATATTTTACGAAAGTGATGCGAATTATCTAAGCATAAGCACTGATGTTCTACTGTCTGAGACTTAACGCTCGTGTGAGACTGTCTAACTTTCTGTGGAAAGATGACAAGGTTCTAACAATGCGTTAGGAATAACCATTAGCACGTATACTGGTACCTAAGTTGTTCCACTATTCGGTGGAACCTCAAAAGCTGAGGAAAGGAGGGAAATGAGCTGTTTTTTAAGTCTCTGAATGGCAATCATGATGAATCCGAACTGCGATAGGCGAGCTAAACAGCTCCTAACATTATCATCGAAAGTCTTCCAAGTGATCAGGTGAGAGAGCACATGGGAATATACAATCATCCACCATGCCCAATATCGTCAAATGAGACTTATCTCCTTTATTCTGACAGATACCGGCTTAAGCTAACCATTCGTTCTGTGAAACGAGATAAATGGGAAGACGAATTGATATGTAAAACAGAGAGAGAAAAGAAGTAGTAAGTGAAATGAATGAGTTTCGAATTACCTTAAATTTTTCTTGGCGCTACTGTGTCGAGTGTTTGTGAGATACACCAACTACAAATGAACTGGTAATGGTTGAAAGAACCCATAAACACTGAGATACAGAAATTGACGACCATGAGAATTCAGCAAGCTTATTTGTCTTTAGTAGTCCTTTTGTAGTACTTACTACCTAGTTGAAAGCCTCATGATGCAATTATTACGAAGCGGAGTAAATTACAAAGAGAACGGTAAACACATACACACCAAATAATCGCACGGACATAAAAATCGGATCAATAAAATGAATTAATTACGTATATTTAACTGATGCAATTCCAAGATGCACCAAGTATTCAAAAGTTGAAGTAATCAAACTGACACTCCATTTGGAAAATCTCAGAACTGTCCCACTTTTCCTGATCATTAAATGCCCCTAACTGACAATCTTTCCCGGCCGAAGTGACTGCACCGCTCTTATTAGTTAGCTCCAAGAGGAGACTTGTAAGACATATATGTATTATCATCTCCCACGTGAGCTAGCAGTACCTGATCCATTTCTCCTAGTCTGTCCACTGTCATGGTCACTACATATCATCAACTTTTTCCCCACCTGATTTCTATATTTCAAGTCCGTACATTTTTGTCGCCCTATACTGTCCACTTTAACAATTAATTAACTTATTTATGTACTTACTGCTTACAACAATCGTCTTCTCATAGCATTCGGGTTATCACCTTATTATTTTTTAAAGTGAGGTGGATCACGCGTTTGCCTAGCAATGTGATGGTTATCAGTTCTGGAAACCTTAATGCATCGTGATAGATTGTTATGAAATATAGAAGCCAGAAAGTAACTATCATATCGTAGAAAACGAGATGACCTTACTTTGGCATTGTGTAACTTTCTATAACGATTAATGGTGTTAATATCTATGGTCTTCCTGCTCCCTTTAACAATACTAATCTTCGACGCAATAGCAAGAAGATCCAAAAACTGCAACCTAATAAACTCAGTGACTAGTCAGTGACTGGAACGTCATACTCCTACAAGTGATGTTATACTGATCAGTGGACGTTTTCAAGGAGAATCTGAACTTCCATTTGAAAGCAAACTATGAAGATTAACACATGTCCACCAACCTGTTCATATTCGTGAAGACTGAAGACGAAATCTGATTACAATTAACACAACGGAGTTGCTAGCATTCTGATCATTGGATAATAAAGAGAAATTTGATCTGTACTATTGCAACAGAAAAACAATCGTAAAGAAATCAATCCGTTCATACAATCTCGAGATATTGGATACTGGATTTTGGCACGCGGGTGAATCGATTTCCCAAGGTTACTTAAGCGTGTCTCACTATGCTTAGTTTCGAGGATGTGCGCGTGTTTACAGCAACTCAGTCTCTAGGATCCAAACGACTAACCTTCGGTCCACACCACCTCACATTTCAGTTGCGCGATTCCGACGTTATGGTAAGTTAGCGTTTCAAGTGTTGACGTGAAAGAGTGAAACATATTTTATTAAGGTTGAATCATTACTTGTTTATGTCGAACTAAACACCATACAGTGTAATGACGAAACTTTCTGTAAAAGTTTGATCTGGTTGTATGAAAAATATTTTTCAATCTCACCCAAGCAAATAGAAACGACATTCTATAAAAATTTTCTATGCGAATCTGAGAGAAAATGCTCCAGAATGTCGCCTTCACCACCTGCTCTTGCAGACAGTGAGAATTTCCCTACAATTACTTCTGGTTAAAAACATCCGAAATCACTTGTTTACTTCAAGTGGTGTTCCCACTCAAATCTGCACTAGGTTGTTTGCTCCTCATTATTTTTAAGACAGTCTACTTCTAACCTACATCTACACAAATTAACTTCACTTCCGCCAAATAGTCTACTTTTGACCTAAATCTGCTTTAAGTAGTTTCAAGACCAAATAACTACTTCACTGGGGAAATTAACGTTTGTATTCAGTTAACCTGTTAGAGGAATGAATCTCGTAACGAATGACGTTGATTAAGACAAATTTTAGTTTCAGTTTGCAAAAATATTGTTTAAACCAGCGTCCAAGCCACACGTCTCCGTCGTAATCAACATGATTATCTGCGGAAATCTGTAGTTTATTTTAAAAAAATTGTATTTTTTGTCTTTTTTTCAAACAAAATACTACTTCATATAGACTTTTAGTACTTACGTCTTATTTGTCTCAATAGGACAGATTCTAGTAAGAATGTTGGTGTTAATACTTTTCGATTTCAGCATAAGAAATTTCGTAAATATCTACCTCTAGGTCTCGCATCCCTGTTGTCATTATGGGGAATAATTTTCCCCAGTTTAATTTTGAAGTAGAATAACGATTTCTTTGAACTAACAGTCTTGTTGAAGATATATCTTCAACCCTTCTAGTTCCTCTTCAGTTGACAGAGAGAAGTGGAACTGCGATAATCCTGCACGCAGATTGTTAGACACGCTATCGACTTTTAGAAATGGACGTCGTCAGCCGTACTTTGGCAGACAAGTCGGATACGACAGTTACAAGAGTTAATGAAATGTCATGCAGTTTAGTGAACCTTTAGGACTAAAAACAATTTCACACATAATTTACTCGACATCGGTTCTACTTCTAATAGGCTTTAACTAACATCATTTTGATGAAATTAATGATGAGTGACCATCTGACTGTCAGACATTCTGGTTGTGTTTTGGATGTCTTTAGAATCGGCTCTTGATTTACATAAAGATTATAGAAGTACTCTGAGAATATGTACCAATGTTGAACTGAGACTCATCAGTAGTCATGTCATCACTACCTCGGGTTACTAATGTAGTGAAGAAATTAATTAATTAATGTGTAGAGCTATCCAATAAGAACCTTGAATATATGGATAAAATTATTACAGCCATTGGTAAATCTATCCCACTTCGCTCTGAACTTGGTGCTTCAAAATCTCAACGAAGTGTGTTGCATCTTAGATGATGTCTCTGAAAAATAAAGGGATGTGGATTATTCCTGTTTTACTTAGGACCCGTGGTTAGAACAACCTACCATGTTATGCCGTCACGGAGATCGTCTGAAAGTAAAGCATATCCCCCAGAATTCCAAATTAGGACCTCAGTGTTTGTACAGGATTGTCGGACTAATCTTCACCGATGGATAGAATGAGACATAACGAAAAGATAGGTGTTATATGAGTCGTCTGTAAGAAAAGGCAAATGGATTCGATATTTTAGATCAGTTGTGTAGAAGAACTTCTCCTAATTCCACTACTACTATAAGAATGCAACTTGATATTTTGCCCAACACTCATGAAGAAATTAAAGCATTGTGAACACCAGAACCAGATTTTCGGTGAAGAAGACGAGCATTCGATGCCAAACGACTTCATACAAAAACAAAAAATACTGTATGACCAAATACGTGTGCAAAAGAAAACTAATCTTAAGGCAACTCAACACATTTTCATGAATTCTTGTCATTAATTTTCATTGTATGTCAGTTTTATTTAGTTACTTGATTTTCAATGCATTTTCATTGTATTGGGCACTTCATTATAGATTTGTATGTACTGGCAATTACTCAGTTAATAAAACTGTGTAATTAGTTACCACTCAATTGATATATAACTGATTTAACTTGAATGTAAATTCAACCATTCTTTAGTTTCGTTCAATAAATCTAAACAAGATTAATCTTTCAGGTCTCCGGGGGACTATGGTTAGTAGAGCTGTTGTATATCGCAGTTGTTGTTAGAGTCGTCTCCATGTAAGTTCTTCTCTTTAAGTGCAAAATATCGTCCAAGGCCTAATGTATATCACTGCGTAGTTTAACAGTAGGAGGGTGAACTACTGAACATAACCACTTGGCTTATCTTGTAAGTCTTACAGACCTTGGAGGCCGATGAATTCTCGGTACTGTTGTTCTACCTTATTTGGGTTTTGTAAACGTGTTACCTATGATGTAGATGATGTTTGTCCGTCGACCAAAGAGTGGGTATTCTGATATGAAGTCCATCCATTGCTTTGTGGCTGTGAAAAATGACCTTTATAGGTAGGTGACACTCGGTACTTGATTATATATGTCTGCAAAGCGTTGTCTGCGTCGAATGATTTCTATACAGTGAATTGAAATCGGTAAATTCTAGCATAACATACGTCTATGATATGAATTATGTTCTATAGTCCATTGTTTACATGATTTATCCTTTTTCTCCAAGTAATTACTTCTCATTATCTTTTGACTTGTCTATAATTTTTCTTTTATTTCGTAAAGATTATGTACAGAGCAATTGACGGGTTTCGCTTGTGCGAATCACCTACTGAACGTCGATTCACACCATCCATACTAACTGGATATACGATTGTTTTGTATACAAAAGATTTCCATATTTATGAATTAACTGTAAACAGTCTTTCTGTTGCTCGTTCTCTTGAGCAGTCATTAGAGGGAGTATCCTCAATCGGTAAGTATTTTGCTTCTTATTTATAACCTCAACTACTTATGTTTTTATTAATAGTTCTTTTTGAATTTTTCTTTAGCTCTCTGTGTTTTATTTTATTTCATTTATAGCTTATTAAACTATTGGTTGAACAAAACACAGAAAGATGGAACGAGACCATATTAACTTATAAATGAATATAAATTACGTGTAATGAACGAAACAGTTAATCGTACGACACCTATAATCTGCCGCATATATGTAGTGGTTCAACTTGCCTCATCATATCAGGACAGCGAGATAAAATTACGAGAAAAATGTTTGGGTAGTAGAATTACTAGTAATAGTAGTAGTAGTAGTAGTACTAAAAATGACTACATATTGGCTATTGTGACATTCTGAGCCATATTACCTAACATCTCCAACGATTGATTGCATTGATCAAGCTGACCCCAACTAGGTAGTCTGTACCTGTTAGCATGCCACAAGATACCAAAACAGATGTTATTCTGTTAAGGAAGTCCAAATTATCTTACGAAGAATGTAATAGAAAACTGTAGTGAAGTAATCACTTGCTTCCATTCTAAGTCATGTTTGATAATGTTTTAAGCTCTACCACTGGAACCAGGGGTTTTTTATGAACTTAGTCTTATACAACTACCTCTCATCCTACTACCTTATTTCATAATACGACGATCTTTCCGTGATATCAGTTAAATTATCTTTACTTCACTTGAACACGTTACTGGACCTCGGTATTGTTTGCACTGTGGTGCTATCGGATCTTATTAGTCCTCCTGATATATCAATAATTGGATTCGTTGCTTTTAAATTACTGCTTATCATTCTCGATTACTGCCAGCGAAATATAGACTTAATTAAAACACGTTCCGTGTAGGATTATGTTGGGGCACGCTGATTGTCCATCTCTTAGCTAATCAGCGCTAGAGATAAGAATAGCTAGGTCGTATAAGTGGAGATCATAACGATTATCAGTAGTTGAAGATTGTTTCACTGCGGCTTAAATGATTGCTGTTGATTGTTGTATATGTTGAACAAGTGGGTTTGTGATTGCAGATACTTTTTAATGTTGACTATCTCCATCTACCGTCTTAGATCAATCTGTAAATGTTTTTAAAGGTTTTCTATCCCTTATATTTTTTCTGATAGATGACGTAACATTGCTTTACCCATTCTCTTATAAATCCAACCAATTATCACTTTTACCCGCAATAAAAGCCACTGATTGGCCTAATAATATCAAAGAGATCTTGTCTGGTGGGAGTTGGCGTAGAAGCCAATTAAATGAGAATTATTTAGTAAGTAGTATTTTGTTTTCTTTGTAGTACATCTTGCCGTGAAGTATTTTCTTAATATTGTATTATATGTATAGTATTAGGACAGTTTTTTGTGCTTAGTTGAATGCTCTGTAGGGAGTTATTTTTCCAGTGAGTGGCTGATTGGTAGAGTCTGTACGAAACTCAACGACTTAGGCTTTACGTTGACTACGACTGACTGGCTAGGAGTCGAATATTGTATTGACACTCAATTTGAGGGACCTAAAAGGAAACTGGATTAGTAGTGTTCTTGACAATTCGGTGTCGTGGTCACGAAGTTCAAGAGACAACCGTTTGGGCCCAATCACACGCAGCTTTTTTGTGAATAGTCTTAGGTAAGCTAGCGCTTTACTTACAGCCCTTGGTGTTGGCAGCGGGAGTCCATGGGGCAAAGTAAGGTATGCTGTCCTTGGGATCAACCTTTTCTAACCCATTTTTACTCTGTGAGTGAGAAGGCAGTACCATTTCAGATGCTGGCTGTCTGGATGAACACCTTACTTCTATTACATCCCTGTCCAAACGACAGTACGACCTCGTTTTTAGGCCTTTGTTATTTCTATTCTCACTGCTTCCCCATTGACCTACCTGGAATGGTTGGGCTTAAAAAAACAGTCGTCTCAAGCAATATAGTTCGATTGTGTTGTTATGATAGACGGGCCTGACCACTTCGTCAAGCTAGCATCTGCAGTCGGGCAATGAAGTTATTAATGTGAACCATTGCTTGGTAACTCAATAGTCTAAAGATTAGGCATCCTATCCGAAGCCAGAAAGTTTGATTCGTCGACGGTTGCCTACGTGCACTGCTGAAGAGTCCAATCGTGTGACGAAACAGTCATTCAGTGCTTCATGTTTTTCATTAATGTTCTATTTAAAGTTTGTTTGTGATACGAACCACATACATTATTATTTCCATGACCGCTTTGCATTCATTTTATTCATCTTTCCCGTTCTAGTTGTGCAATTCTTATCCGAAAACATTTGTTGTACCTGTTAAATGTGATGATCAAATGATTAAAGAAAGTAGCCGATTTCGTCATGGTGGTCGTTTTCCTCTACTGGTATACTATCATAAGCCAAGACAAGTATGAGCTAGTTATGTACACATTTTCATTTTTTGTTAGTTGTAACTTTGTGTTATAATTCATTTATTAAGTATGAATTTCTTTTTTCTAGGTATTCGGCTTTGATCCACATTGTTGTTGTATGTTGAAAACCTATAGAGATACTACTCACCGCTTCCATAAACCGAAATAAGTGAAGTAATTAGGGTTTTCGGTGAATTTGTTCGAGTGATTCGTTCACCAGTCTACTTCTCCTTGTGTCTGTCACGAGGTCACATTTTATATTTCGTACAGTTTATTATAGGATTGCTTAATGTATAGTTCCAGTGTCTTAACTCTACTATTGGGATCTATAATGTCTTCGTGAACAAAGTTCAACTTTAGTTAGGATTGTTTTTTAGTCTTTAATAAACTCGTGATATAAGAGTACTTACTTTCCATTATCATTCATGTGTTAATTGCATCATTACAGGGCGCTTTGTATAGTCCACTTGTCATATGACTTCATTCGAAGCTATATATAACCTTTTTTGTTGTTATTCCTCTAGGTAGTATTCAATGATATAACTTTTAAATGTCAACAAATGATCTGTTTTGGCATTGAAATAAGCGAACATTCATCATCCTCATCATAGTAGTACACTTAGTATTTTTTGTAGATGTCTTTTTTTAACCTGTACGTTCTTGTATAGCTTCCAGTCAGTGGTTCAAGTATCTTATTGTCGCTTACATAGTTCATTCAATGAACATCCAAGTTGGGGTCATTTCTATGGAATTTGGAGTACTTCAATCTAATCTTCAGAATACTTCTCGTTTGTGACAATACACTTGTTCTGTCTGTTTGTATTGTTTTGAATGTTTTCTAAAGTCAATCTTGATATTATGCTCGTTGAACTATGATTCGTCACTAGTGAATATTCCAGAAAAAAAAATCGGATTTTTGAGAGACGCCCAATTTTACTCAGCTTTCAGTTCAGTTTCAACAACTCTTGGGAGATTTTCGTACATTTTTCTCAACTTAAAATATTCTGATTGAAATCATGAACTGGCATAGGTTAGACAACCATCACTTGGCAGTACTCGATGACCGTTTCATCCTGATATGAGACTCCTTAGCAGTACCAATTGACAACCCCACAAGCGGAAATCAAACCTAGGACCTCCGTTCTCAGGCGCAAAACGTTCACCTGTAGCTCACATCTAGACCAAATAATTTGCCGAAATGATATACATAGACAGGTTATTCGAAATAAAATTTATCAATAATCATTCAGATAATAAATCCTTTGATCGAATTACACAAGAAATCGTAGTAGGTTGATCATTGTTCATAATTAACAGTATCAATCATCTAACTTATTTATTAAGAGAACTGTTCATATAGTTTTGATTTTCCATAATAAATTGTATTTTCTTCCGTTAGTATGTGTGATATATCTGTATATAAACGTTCGGTTCCACTGAATGATTTCAATACTTGATTCCAATCACTTGTTACCTATTTTTCTTTAACACTAGTGGTTAGTAGAGTAAATTTCTCTATGGATTTAAATTAGAGTTTATTTTTTATGTAGTGGACTCGAGAATGTCTTATTCTGTGCTCATCACTTCAACATATCTGCTTTCTAATGCTGTCGGTATTTGTATTAAGCCTTGAATCCGATGGGTGTCACTTCAAGTACTAGTGTGTTATCTATTAAACTACTAATTCTAGAGAACCACTCAATTGTTAAACATTACTATCTACAACTCAGAGTGTTGGTTTAGTGGTAAAGGTGTTTAGCTTTCAGTCGTTAAGTCCTGGGTTTTGACCCCGCTCTGTCCATTTCGGTTCAGGCAACCGGCTAGTATCATTAGCTCTCACACTTCGAGTGTGGCTACCTGATTTAATCAAATTGAAGTAAAAAGAAACCTGTAATGACAAAACAATATCTAGACAATTGTTCAAAGAACCCATATTTCAACAGGGACTGACCAGATTTCAATAGACAGCCATTGAATAACTTTTATGCTTGATTCCAATCACTTGGTACCTCTTTTTCTAATTTATCTTTTAGACTACTTTATTAATAACTGCTGAACCATTAATTAATCAATCCACAATTACCAACAATCAAAATACTTCAAATTTATTATCATCGTCTAATTCTAGTTTAACTTCATCAACAAAATCGAATAATCTAATGATTAATTCATCTTCAAAAAATTCCATATCACCATTTAGTTCAACATTCAATACTGGTCGATGTCGTTCAGATGAACAATTACTTACTTGTATATTACCAGATAAATGTAGAGGTGTTATATTGGATTTAAGAACACAGAATGAAACAAAAAAACCTCAAGCAACAAGTGAGTTATATTGTTGCTGTTGTTGTTGTTGTGATATTACGAAGTTTTCAAGAGTTGATACTATTACACAGTCAAACTATATACATGAACCCAACCGGTTATTCGAGTAAAAAAAACAACTGAGAATGAGAAAGTTTATTGAATAGACTGAATGGGCATATGTGTATACTCATTCATAGATATTTCTCTTTGTTCCCTAGAAAATTAGACCATTAATGGTGAATCTTATTCCTTAGAAATGAAAGTCATTTCTTGATCAATCACGTGCATATGTCATCTGGTCGATTTTTGATTGGCCCAATCTATCAATTATTTTGTTTGTTGTTAATCTTTTTAGCACCTCTAAATGCCCTGGTAGGGCAGAGAGAGTGGGGAGAATCCGTTCTCCCCCCGAAATGCTCTCACACGGCCACGCGTATATAGCCTCTGCCAGGGAAGTCCTACTCATTGCCTTTTCGCACCACGGGTGTTGTTTACGAAACTGAGAGGACGAAAAGCGAATGTGCGGCGCTTTAACCGGGTTGGTGAACATGGAGAGTCCACCTAGGGGAGTTGGAAAACCCTCATTCCAAACCAATGGTGCATATGGGCTCCAGTATTCTGAAGGAACAAATGGCGTATGAACCAATTGTTGGTGACCGGCTACTGGGTTTTGACCCCCCCCCTCTGTCCACTTCGGTTCGGGCAACCGGTTAGTATCATAGGCTCTCACACTTCGAGTGTGGCTACCTGATTTAATCAAATTGAAGTAAAAAGAAACCTGTAATGACAAAACAATATCTAGACAATTGTTCAAAGAACCCATATTTCAACAGGGACTGACCAGATTTCAATAGACAGCCAGAACAAGTGACTAAATAATCACTGTATTGAAAAGAACTGTAATTTTTATGAGATATTTTAATCAGGTCTGGTTATGAAACGTTGTACGTTAAGTCTTCTCTTTCATTACAATATTATAAAATTATATTTATTCAGTTATGAATAACTCCGCCTGTAGCTCTTCTAGAGTTACCGCTGGTCCCAAGCCCGGGTAAAGGAGGAGGGTTGGGCATGCGGTCGGCAACCTCATCCCGTAGAAGAAAATTTTGCTAAACAAACTCCAGCGAGATTAAACAGATTCAATCATTCAAACTCTGCCTTGGAAGTTGAAGGCGGAATTATGACTCCTCGTTATAAATGCTGGGATTCTTCGGAAGTTACGATGCCGATGCCCTTCTAACAACCAGAGCAACAATTTTTATATGTACATGGAACGTCCGGTCAATATGGGTGACCAGGAGGACCAGTCAAATAGCTGTGGAAATAAGAAGATACAAATTGGCAGTACTCGGAATCAGCGAAACCCATTGGACCCAAGTTGAACGGCAAAGGCTAGGTACGGGAGAGATGCCGCTATACTCCGGTCACGAAGAGCAAAATGCTCCACACACTCAAGGAGTTTCTCTAATGTTGTCCAAAGAAGCACAAAATGCACTTATAGGATGGGAATCTTATGGATCCAGGATCATCAAGCATCCTTCAAAACAAAGATGAGGGGAATCACGATGAATGTTACCCAATGTTATGCACCCAACAATGATAGCAACGACTACGATAAAGATCAGTTCTATGTGAGGCTGCAATCAATCATAGCGAAGTGCCCAAGAAAGGATCTCACCATTCTGATGAGAGACTTAAACGCCGAAGTCGGAATGGCCAACACCGGTTATGAAGATATCATAGGCCTGGGAGAGGGAAACGAAAATGGGAAAGATTTGCAAACCTATGTGCATTCAACAAAATGGTTATAGGCAGCACAATATTCCCCCACAAACACATACACAAAGCTACTAGAGTCCCACCGGACCACACCACAGAGAACCAAATGGATCACATTTGCATCAGTAAAAAATTCGCAAGGTCAATGGAAGACGTGCGAACCAGGAGAGGGGCTGACATAGCTTCAAATTGCTACCTGGTCGTGCCAAAGACGAAGTTGAAAGCTGAAGAAACATTCGACAACTAGAGAAATAGCATTAAAGACTTTCAATACAGTCTTCCTTCGACATACTGATAAGCTCAACGAATTCAAGATAACTCTCAATGGCAGGTTCTAAGAATTGCAACATCTATTCAAAGAAGAAGAAACTACTATGGTGGACCACTAGAGAGGGATAAAGAAACACTTACTTCAACGTGTCAGGAGGTGCTGGGCCGCAACAAGCATCATCATACCGAATGGGTCTCTATCGAAACCCTGGACAAGATTCAAGAAAGGAGGAGCAGGAAGACAGCAATCAACAACAGCCGAACAATAATAGAAAAAATCAAAGCAAAATCTGAATACACAGAAGCAAATAAGCAGGGAAAGAAGAGCATTAGAGCCGACAAGCGGAAATACGTGGAAGAGCTAGCAATGATAGCGGAAGGAGCTGCAAGTGAAGGAAATATGAAACAACTAAATGGCACGAAGAAGAAACTGGTAAGAAAATACAGTAAACCAGCGAGATCGGTCGAGTACAAAGAGGGCAAGCCAATCACTGAAATTCAAGGACAGGAACAAATGGGTAGAACAATTTGACGAACTCTTGAATAGACCAGCTCCAATAAATCCATCGGATATTGAAGCAGCACACACGGACCTTCCAATAAATGTCACTCCGCCAACTATCCAAGAAACCAGGATGACCATCAGACAAATGACGAATGGGAAAGTAGCAGGACCTGACAATATACCAACTGAAACACTAAAGTCAGACATAGAAGTAACAGCAAACATGCTCTACACTCTTCAGGAACGTTTGGGGGGGTACAAATGCAGACAGACCTGAAGGATACCTCATCAAGGTACAAAAGAAAGATCTGAGCAAATGTGAGAACTACAGAGGTATCACAATACTGTCAGTAGCAGGAAATGTTTTCAACAGTGTTGCTGAACCAGATGTAAGACTCAGCAGACGTCCAACTTCGAGACCAACAGGCTGGATTCTGTAAGGATCGGTCATGCACAGATTAAATTGCGACACTACGGATCATCGTTGAATAATCAGTTCAGTGGAACTCGTTACCTTACTTCAACCTCATAGACCATGAGAAAGCATTTAACAGTGTGAATAGAAGAACATGGAAACTTCTTCGACACTATAGAGTTCATAAGAAGATCGTCAAAATCATTCGGAATTCATACGACGGATTACACTATGACGTCATGCATGAAGGACAGCTGACAGATGCATTCCAAGTGAGGACCGGAGACAGACAAGGCTACTTACTCTCCGCCTTCCTCTCTCTTTTGGTAGTTGGCTGGATTATGGAGACCTTGACATATGAAGGAAAGCAAGGAATAACAAGGACAGCTCTAAATCAACTAGACGATTTGGAGTTTTCAGATGACTTGGTCCTTCTATCCCATGCACATCAACAAATAGTGTATCAGCAGCCTCTGCATCAGTATGCCTCAACATACACAAAGGAAAAAGCAAGATCATCAAATACAACACAGAAAACAAACCCGGGAGCTCTCGAAGATGTAGAATTTTTCACGTATCTATGTAGCATCATCGATGAACGTGAAGGATCTGATACGGACGTAAAGGCGAGGATCGGTAAGGCAAGGACCACATTCCTACAATTGAAGAACATATGGAACTCGAAACAACTGTCAACCTACATCACAGTCAGAATCTTCAATACGAACGTCAAGAAAGTCCTACTGCACGAGACTGAAACGTGGAGAACTACAACTGTCATCAAAATGGAACAAGTATTTATAAGCAGTTGTCTATGTAAGATACTCAATATCCGTTGGCTGGATACCATCAGCAACAACCTACTGTGGGTGAAGACAAACCGGCTTCCAGCTGAAGAGGAAATTAGGAGAAGACGTTGGAACTGCATAGAACATACATTGTGGAAATCACTAAATTGCATTACGAGGCAAGCGCTAACCTGGAATCCTGAAGGGAAACGGAAAAGAGGAAGGCCGAGGGACACACTACGTCGGGAATTGTAAACAGACATGAAAAGAATGAATAATAACTGGAAAGAACTGGAAAGGATAGCCCAGGACAGAGTGGGATGGAGAATGCTGGTAAGGGAGTCAATTATCAACAATCTTACTGGCGTATATGTGGTTTTAGTGAGGGCTTGACAACGATTTCATCTGATAATGGAGCATCTTAGAAGTACATAACCACTGCCCTATCTGAGATTGAGTCTAGGACCTTCAGGTCTTACTTCGAGCTGTAACGTACTCTCAAACCACTGAATCCACTCAATCTACGTTGTAGCACGACAATAAACTGATCCTATCGATAGCGACTAACCCTTTCCCATCGTGGTTGGATTTCATCTGTCACAATCATCCACTGGTAGTGTAGGAACTCATCTTAAAGTTGGACATTATTATCCATATGCTTTTATTTTGGTGATTGATGTCCAGTCAGTGATGAATAACAACATATAAATTAATCTCCATAGATCTGTCAATCATTCAATTTGTTCGTTAGTTTTTCATGTTAGAAATTTGCATTATTGACAATGAAATAAAATCCAATCAACACTAACCTCTTTTAACCCTTTTTCTCCTTCTCAGGTGGTCTTGTTGAATTTGAACAATATTATCCACAATGGAGACGAGTTTGTAGACCGTTAGAATCTACGGGTAACTTGATTGTCACTTTCAGGAAATTCATTTATGGTAAGATGTTTTTTTAATTCGTTTATGTATTTCTATGTGTTTTGACCATTAATTTATTCTTCCTTGGCAAATAGTCGTTTTGCTGATTCTGTCCGGGAATAATTGTGACGACTTAGCTTAAGTTTGACTGACGCTCTATAAAATTTTGGACTTGACAACCGTACTACTCTACTACTGCTAGGATAATAAAAAACAATTAACATTGAGAACATTATTCTACGAGACGAAATGAAACGATATGCATGAAGAATACTTAGCCTGAAGATTCAGAGGAAGATAAAGAGTGCATTCCTCTGCCTCACTGTTACTGATTTTCAACCGTGTCACCAAACGTCGCTAATTACTAATCGACATCATCATACAGATCACTACCAGGTTGTCTGCAAATACCTATATGATTCAGATCAACTTTCAACGTCTTCATGGACTGATGTCACGTTTCAGTTTGTTCACCTAATAGCTTTTTCCCAATCTATTCCTATACCAGACAACATTCGTCGAGGTAGGCGGTGGTTGGGGATATCTATAACATGTCCCAACCACGGTTGATATAGATTCACAACCTCATAACCAAACTTATCTGTTTGCCTAGTACTCTATGCACAACTTCAGCATTGCTAATGCAGTTGTTCGATGATTCGCGAGCATAGCTTCTAAGACAATAATGATTAAAAAATCCTACAGCCTACGCGATTCTTTGGTATTCATAGGGAAATATAACACATGTCCCAACCGAAATAATCGATTTTCATTGTACAACTGACCACAGTTAGATGTTCTCCTTAGTCATGAAATATTTTTACCTTTTAAGACATTTTTTATATCCCAGAAATCAATATACATTGGACGAAATATTGTTTTGTTAAGCGTGTGAACAACACATGCCTTCTTTATTGACTAATCTTAAAGTATTACTGCAGTTTTTAGAGTTATAAAACACCTTGATAGTGTTTAAACTATTCTGTTTTATTCTAATCAATAAAAGCTTGTACATCATATGGTCGTGTAACTCGATCTTCAAGCAACACAACATTTGGTGCACTTCAATCTGGAATTAGTGATTCTATTGGAATGTTGTCCAGTGCTGCATTGAATCCAATAGGAAGTTTTGGATCACGTAACTCCACGGCTGCATCAATCCCATGTGATAATTCAGTCAATTCATTTAATGATATCACTGTTCGTGAACAAATAAATACATCGAGTAAAAATGAATTGATCTCGAATTTCGCTCAATTAGATATTCAGTCTACTAATTCAACTACTGAATCTGATTTAAGTAGTAATAATAATATAAAGAAATCAAAAAAACTTTCAGCTTGGTTATCATTAGTTCGTGAAGCGTTAGCAGCTGCTGTTGCTGGAGCAACAGCTTTGGACGCTTTGGATGCATTCGCTCAACAACAACTTCAACAAGAACAATGTTTGTTAGCTGAAAAACAGAGAAGAGCATCAAAGGAGCAAAGTTTCGAAGAGGCAAAATTACGTGGATCATGTGTATTAGTGCAAAGTCGAAAAGGAACTGATCGAGCTATTCTCGTGGCTAGTTTGATTCAAATCATATTAAATCCTGAGTCTAGAACTATACAGGGGTAATTGGGGTTAGCTTGTTTGGAGGGGTTTTTCTCGTAGTACTGTTTACAGTATAATTTTCAGTTTATACTATTCTCTGTGAATTGTAACAGCTGAAAATAATTCACTATCCCTAGTTTACATTAATTTTCAGTTCAGTATATACAAGTTTCATTCTTCCTACTCATAACAAGTTGGTAGTGGCATTTATATCATAACAGTCTCGAGAAGTTGAAGTATCTGTTCAGTACAAAACGTCAGCTATTTTATGTAAAAGTTGTTTGTGAAAATCCATTCACTGTATTTTCTCTGAGTTAGAGATAGTTGGACAGTAGTTTTTTTAGATCTTTGGTTTTTCATCAATTAATGGGAAATATTGGCTTGTAATTGGCGGGATAAAATTACAGCTTTTCTAAAAAAAAACAACTATTGATAAGCTCAACCCTCGTTGCACAAGCCAATGACTCTCTGGGCTTAGTAGTAGTAGCTCCCCGGATAATGCGATAGACATTTGAAACGAAAGATACTGAGTTCGAGTCCTGATATATACATTGGAACTGGGATGTCCATACGTCCAACTGACGGGTCCCTATTAGGACGAAACACAACCCGGAGTTTACTGCTAACCATTTTCCAACTTTATATAAAAACATAATGCTAATATCGAGGTAATTCACCCAGGATACGTGTATAAAAAAAGAATAATCGAAATTTAACTTCTAGCATCATTAACGGGAAGATTCAATCTCTTACAAACAAGTAGTACAGTACAAACCAACGATTGGTTGTCTGTTCACTGTTTCTCAAGGAGAAACACTTTTTTCTGATGCGAGAAGATAATTAGTAGGATTTACCTGGCAGTGGCTGTATACCTGGAGCTCCCGCGTGGTAGGCGAGCATTCTACCATTGAATCACCGACGCAATGTTCTAGGTTCTACAGCACATATGACTAATGCATCTGTATGACTTAATGTTCTAACCATGAGACATGAATATTGTAGGTTTGTTCGTTTTGGGAGTCTTTGGTGACCACCACTGAGGATGAAACAACTAAGGTATACCATATGAATTTATGATGCTGAGATTAAAACAATCAACTGAAATCCTGAGTGCAATATACACCTGTTTCTTCTTAGTACGGGACTGACTCTTTGATTTCACCAGGGGTCAGACCTAGGATCTTCAAGACTAGTTGAGTCGCTTAACCTCTAGGTCACTTAGTCGTCATGTTTTGGTTTACATTTTTAACTTAAGTATATTAATGATATTACGTAACTATCATTTGAATCCTTGTGAGATCGTGGGTACACATTACTGATTAGTCCCGTACTAGGATGTAACAGGTATCTAATACTTCCTGCTTTTTATTTAAGGTCTAATGAAGGCTGGTTCGTGACATGAAACTTCAAATACTAATACATTTTGATTAACTGTCATCTTTTTCCGTTTAATCTTGTTGCGTTCACAACTATTTAGATTTCAAGAACTTATCGACCATACATGGTTAAACGCCGGACATCCATTTGCAGATCGTTGTCAAAATTCCGCTTTCTCTCTTAAACCACCAAAAGATGAGAGTCCAGTGTTTATTCTATTTTTGGATTGTGTTTGGCAAGTAGGTGCGTTTTTTTTATTTTGAAAAGATTTTTTAGTAAAATTGAATTTGCTCCATGTGTTGCATCAGTAACTCTTACTTTTAATCATAATCCTATCCCCAATTCTAAATCTAGTCTTAACTCAATCTTATTTGTTAATTCTATCGAAGCGTTCAATTATAGGATTAAGATACATGTGAAACCAAAGTTAAAAAAGAAACAACAATTATCTAAAATAAATGGTTCTATTATTAAGGAATAATGCATAAATTAGTTACTAACTTGAACTTTTGAGATATCTGCAGTAATTAACTCGTGGGTATGTTTGGAAAGCGAAAGAATTCCTTTATTAATTACATAAAGGGTGATTAAAACATATGATAGAGTAAATGATACCTGTGTCTAATGTTAAAAACTTAGCAACAATTGGGACTGCATCTCCTAACATTACTCTACTGCCTTGTGGATTAGACCTTTAGATCAAAGGCTCCGACTGTAGCCCCCCCAAGAAAATCCCTTGTTTCGATTTGGGCGCCCGGACAGTATTCCAGCCCTCACATAAATTGAATGATAAAGTGTGGCACATATATATTTGGTGCATTCTCATACCAATGTCTATGTGTTTAAATAAACAAATATTTCGGTTTGAAGATTCGTGTAGTATCACTAGTCCTCATATTTAGATTGTAAGTTCAAGCTAAATCCTATGAATCTGTACGTGATGAATGGGTTTCTATCAACATTTATACTAGTTAATTATGAGATGCAGACTACTTGGTTGGAGTCCGCGTGACTATCGTAACCAATGGTTGGAGACTGTTGGTGACATGGCTCAGAATCGATCACAATGGCGTAGGTGTGTACACTCTCTATCATCCCTTAAACCAAGAGATTAAAATCGCTTCATATCTTTCTTTCTACTAACTAATTCCTTCTTCCTGTACTATATCCTTATTGCAATCTTTCTTTTATATATTACCACCTCTGAATTAACTACTTTTATGAATCCGGTGTTCGTCTTGTTGTGTTAATGAGGTATGGCAACTTGGACAGATGCATATATGTGACTGGTCCTACGTTGTAGCTGACTGACTGACTAGTTAAGTATATGTTAAATGAGATATGTCGTTCTAATCAAACTATCTTCTGTTTCCTTATGATGAATAATGTTATTGTTATATACTCATTTACTGACTCTTTTTTTTCTCATTTTGTTTTTCTTTAGTTACTTCGTCAATATCCGAATTCATTTGAATTCACTGATGAACTGCTTTGTATTATTGCAAAACATGCTTATTTCTCTGAATACGGTGAGTATTAGTTACATTATTATTGTTGATGTATTCATTGTAATAATTCGCTTTTCGTCCACTCATTTTCATAAACAACACCCTCGCCACGAGAAGGCAGTGAGTAGGACTTCCCCAGCAGAGGCTGTATACGCGTGGCCGTGTGAGAGCATTTCGAGAGAGAGGGAAGGCCCACCCCACTCTCGGCCATACCAGGGCATATGGGTGCTTTAACCGGATCCCAAACCATTGGTGCACATGGGCTACAGTATCCTGAAGGAACAAATGGCGTATGAAACAATCGTTGGTCACCGGCTACCATGGGACCGCATCTCTTCACGATGCTCCACTGCCTTGTGGATCAGACCTTTAGGTCAAATGCTCGGGGTGTGGCCCCCTGAGAATGTGAGTTCACCTCCTTATTGCCAACTTATCACTACATTCAGCTACTAACCATTGAAAGTTGATTTTTCTATAGTCCAGTCAATAAATATGCGTAATCGAGCCATAAAAGCTTTAAAAAATTTGATCACAGTTTATAAGAAAAGCCTCTCGCTATTCAGTTAAGTTAGCTGATTTAAAGTTTTTGTTCCCGAAATACAAAGTGGTCATGAAAGAGAACAACATGCATGTCAAGATGATACAACATGAAATAACAATAGAGCGATTGGAAAAAACAACTAACGTTTAGCGGACTAGTTGAAGTTAGACATTAACACCGCTGGATGCCGACCGGATCAGTGACTTGGTGGTTAAGCGCTCGCGTGCTAGACCGATAGGGTTCGTGTCCCGCGAGGCGGGGTCGTGGATGCGCACTTCTGAGGAGTCCCACAATAAAACGTAACGGCCGTTCAGTGACTCTAGGTTTTCCATGGTGATCTAACCTCAATTGACTCATGATCTCAACTATTGAGTTTACTACAATCTCCACAAAACCCCTTCTGAAACTGAAGTTTCATCAATTTTATTCATTCTGAACTACTTCTCAATTGTGACAATAAATATATTCGTCTCATGTATCTTCGTTTTTTTATTACACTATCGAAATTTATCAAATGGACTAATTACTTTAAATGTCTCATATATGTTTGAATTATTCAAAATATCACTGAAAGTTTCTACTTGTTAGGGATTTCCAAATGTTTGGTTATAGTCTGATCATATGAACAAACTATATTTCCTCGACTTCAGTTCATTATGAATTACAGAGATAGTGAATCAGATACCGAATGGTATAAGAAATTATTCCATGTTTTCATCAGTTCATTAGATTTACAATCATTCTGTATCATCTCTGTGAATAGCCTCCGTTGAAATACTCATTTACTCATTCTCTCAGTTCAATGTAACTCGTTTCGTGGGTTGATTACAGTCGTATGCTACAATTTAATTTTTCTCGGCTTTTTTATTCTTCTTGAAGGTACATTTTTGGGCAATTCTTCACAAGAAAGAGAACAATTGGATATTTCATCTAGAACATTTTCTTTATGGTAAGTTAATTGCCAAGTGAATAGTGCAAACTTTTCAATGAAAGTTGTTGATATAATAGATCAATTCAAAATCACCAAATATTTAGGAGTATGTGATTGGTTGAGAAATGATTTTCCTTTTCTAAGGAATATGCCTAATTTTTGAGGGGAGTGTATATACCATCTATTCAGCTTAGCCAGATAAACTTTCTTCCTCATTTGTGTTTTTTCTCAGGGTAACTGAGCTTGTGTACATGAAGAGTTCGTATCATTATCAGCTTTCGGACATCGCGCATCACAACAATTTCTTTCCTCCTCACAGACTATATGAGTGGTGTATCTAAATGACCGATTATTGAACACCAGTAATGAATAAGTCAATTGATTCCATGGTTTAGCCTGTCACATTATGGCTATAGATCTTACTGTCTTGTATCTTGTAGTGGTTTTATTTGCAATATAGAAGAGAATCTTCCCAATGATCTTCCAGACGCCGGTTATGTTTGTGGCCACGCGTATATAGCCTCTACCAGGGAAGTCCTACTCACTGCCTTCTCGCACCATGGGTGTTGTTTACGGAATTGAGAGGATGAAAAGCGAATGTTCGGTGCTTTAACCGGGTTGGTGGACATGGAGAGTCCACCTAGGGGAGGTGGAAAACCCTGGTTCCAAATCAATGATGTTCATAGGGTCCAGTATCCTGAAGGAACAAGTGGCATATGAACCAATCGTTGGTCACCGGCCACCATAGGACTGCATATCCTTACGATCCTCCACTGCCTTGTGGATCAGACCTTCATGTCGAAGGCTCCGGGTGTGGCCCCCTAAGAAAGCCACCTGCTTCTGTTTGAGCACTCTGGCAGTATCACAGCCCTCACACATATCAAATGAGATTTCTGTGGCGCATATGTAACTGGTGCCCCCTTGTGCCAGTATTTATGTGTTAAAGTAAATAATAAAATATGTTTGTGTTACTACCATACCATACGTATTTCAGATTACAACTGTTCATTCGTGTTGAGATGTTTTAATTTTTGTTTTTCTAATCTACAATTAACTCATGATGGTCGTCTGAATATCCATCATCTCTCCTATACACACTTGGTTTTTCTAAGATCAGATATAAAACCCTCATTAAATAATTTTTTATTCTCAATCCGTAAAGGATATAATTTGAACAAACTGATTTTTAGCGTAAAACAGGTATTTTATTAGCGTTGTTGGGTAGAAATTATTTCAAATTTGACTTTTTTGTACGCGTAATTGGATATTGGCTAGAATCTATAGACGCCTCAGTGTCCATGTGCATATCGAGACTTGGATCCAATGTCTGTCCTTTCAAACACCCGTCGCGTTATCTACTGAGCTACTGAGTTCCTACAACAACTTGGCTTGTGCAACAGGAGTGAATTTTAATTCATTTGTGGAGGTTGTTTAAATTTTCATGCTAATGTTAATGATAAGCCAGTGGTTATTTGGACTCAATAGCTAAGTGGATAACACGTTAGGCGTTTAAAGAGAAACATGCTTGACTTGAGTCCCCATGTGAACATCAGTATTGGATTACAGGTGTATCCAGTTGACAAGTCACAAGTACGACAGGACGGCCATACTGTACTCCACTGTTAACGACTATCCAACTAAACTTAATAGTAATATCGAGGCTATCCACACTGGATGCACACTGGCCAAAACAAACTGATTATTTGTTGGGTTTATCATCAACGGTATGATTCAAGCAATCCTCACAAATCAATTGAACTTCCTATTTCTAATTATTTTTCTCAGTCTACTTATTTTTATCATTGTAATTGTAAAGGGTGTGTTTTTTAAGTATAATAGTTTATAATTATTAGTGGTTGAAATGAATTGTGTTATTTCGTTGTTTAGCCGTCCACTAATCCTTTCTCGATTATCAAAGGTCGAGTTTAGTGAGCAGTAGTTTGTTCTGTTCTATTTTATGGTTATAAAGTATCCCTTAAAGGAATAAAGCATATTCGTAGGCCGCGCGTATACAGCCTCTGCTAGGGAAGTCCTACTCACTGCCTTCTCGTGGCAGGGGTGTTGTTTACGAAACTGAGAGGACGAAAAGCGAATGTCTGGCGCTTTAACCGGATTCCAAATCTATGGTGCACATGGGCACCAGTATCCTGCGGGAACAAATGGCGTATGAACCAATCGTTGGTCACTGGCTACGATGGAACTGCATCTCCTCATGATGCTTCACTGCCTTGTGGGTTAGAACTTCAGGTCAAAGGCTCAGGAAGTGGCCCCCTAAGATAACCACCTGCTTCGCTCTGGGCACCCGGGCAGTATCGCAGCCCACACGCAATTAGTGAACTGAAATTGCGTGGCGCATATATATTTGGCGCACTCTTGTACCAATATATATGTGTTCAAATAATCAAATAATAATTAGTATTCGGTCATAGGTATCTTTGAAGCATGACTCGTGCATTTCGGGACCACTAATTGGGCAATGCCGAGGTTAAACTCAGGTAGTAAGTGAGGGTGGCAAACAGATTGGTGAGGTAGTGAATCTTGATCAACTGAGGTGGTCTAAACATACATTACGTATGTGTGACCGCTATGCACCTTGTCGTATGATGTTTATAAATATAGAAGTAGGTTGGGAAGAAAATAGGGGCTACCAAGACGTGACAACAGTAAATGTAGTCACTGATCATTGAACTGATGTGTTTAGGTAAATCCATAGTACGTGATGTAGATCCGGATGGCTGTCGTAATCAATGGTTGGGGATGTTGCGTTATATTGTTGAGACTCAGTCACAATGCCATATATATATTCACTCTATTGTCCTTTAGATGTTGTTTTTTGTTCACTGAATTCACTTTTACGGAATCATCTCTGTTCGCTATGTTTTTTTTTATTGTCCCTACCGAGACTGTTATTACTTCTATTCTAGGAATTGTAATGATCTTTTTCAGTCCTGATATGGTGTAGCGACTTGAACTGATTCACAAATATCCCAAGTTTCATATTATTTGTGTGTATTCTCCTTCCAGACGTAGACATATAATCACTGTCATTTCTATCGTCAGTGTTTTTATAATGTCAAATTATATTATTAGTGTTTTAAAAAAAATCTTTTCCCAAGGTCATACATCAATCAACCATTTGTGACTAGTCGTTTTCAGAATCCATTTTATTCTGGTCAAAAAAATGATGATAATTCTCAATCAACAACCATAATTGATGGGAGTTATGCATGTTGGCCTTGTTTATCTGCACAAGCATTAGTGAGTAAATTGATTGTTAATTTGATACATCTGCTATGAGAAAGTTCATAAGTCATCAGCTATTAGCTGCTTGATTCCATATTTTGTGTGTTTGTAGGTTGCAATGTTGTTTTAAATCCATTATCAGTCAAAAGCAACGTAGAACTGGTTACATATGTCCATCTATCGAAGTTGCCCACATTGCACATCAGTACAGTGTGAGATCAACATCAAGGTAGAAGTGTTTAGAATCTGTAAATTGTGGCTATCACAATAAGTTGTAATATAGTGACTGTATTAAGTCAGTCATCACAGGATATTCACATGTCAACAAAGATCGATAAAGATCCAATCCCTAATACTTTCGACAGGATAACTCCAAACCCATCCTACTAATGATACAAAGTAGTATTAGTATGACGCCTCATGGTGAAAGCCGAGTTCCTTCGGAAGTCACGAGGCTGACGCACCTTCTGACAACCAGAGCAATCATTAATATAAATATATGTAATGCTCGTACAATGTGGAGACCGGGAGAGTCATCCAAATTGCTTCAGTTTCATTGAAGTATCCTATTAATTGATTTTTGGTTATGTTCAGTTGTGTAGATTATTTAGCAGTAAATTTTTTCTTTGTAATATTCTCTTTCTTGTCCGGAAGGCTTTATAAATGACTATTTGACTTGTCTATTCAATTTTTTGAAGGATATCTGGGAAGAACTATATCAGCATCAATTAGTTGGTATTAATCCTAGTCTATGGAATCTGCCTCGGGTTATGGCACGTGTAATTAAGGACAAATTTGAAGCGGAACGGAATAGAACTATTCAATTACGCAAGTAATTTATTTGTTTATCTACTGTTGTGAAAACTAAAAAATAGTTCTATCTTATCATTCTAGACTTGGATACTGAACGTCAAACTGGTTCGAATGTTATAGGGTAGTATCAGTTCCTTCATGATTGTAGATGTATTTATATCCAGAGTTTAACACTAACTATCTCGAACACATATATATTCTGGAACACTACTGATTGAGTCAGAGCTTTATGGAAAACTATCACTGGAACTTATAACTTCAAGTAATGTTCGTCAGAGCTATCAGCTTTCCATAACTTCGATCATAGACATTGTTTTAGAGATAAAATGTCGAAGTGGATGCATTAGCTCTTTGTTTTCCTTTAGATCTTAATTTTCTAAGTCACCTTATAAATTCTTCTTCATCACACACATCCATATTTTCTTCTCAAATTGTTTCTTCAATGCCTAGCCTTTTCTATTATCACTAACACTGTTACCACATCTGTTGCCCTTGAATTCGCCCTGACAATTTCATCTCATCGTGCTAATGGAGGTGGTAACATTAACGGATGTATGTGTGTCCCACTTTCTACGTTTTGTGCGATTGACTAACTGAACTGCGCCTGGAGCTTTTCTCAAGTTACAGCTGGTCCTTAGCCCAGGTGAAAAAGGGTGGATTAGGTATGATGTTAGCAACGTTATTCCCATAAAAGAGAACTTCGCTGGAAAATGTCAACCAGGAAAAATCATTTAAAGCTTTTGAACTCTATCCCTAAGAGTTGAAAGATCTTCATTTTAAAAAAGTTATGACAATTCCTGGTGAAAGTCGAGATTCTTCGGGATTTATGGTGTTGATGCCCTTTCTGGCAACCAGAGGAATAATATGAAATGTCCGGACAATGTAGAAGGTTAGCAGTGCTATTCGTGGTTTTGTCAAATGACATCGTGTTGTACACTTTGTAATCAATGATTTCCGTTACATTTTCATTAAAATTGTCGACCGTAAAAGTCTTTTTATTCCAGCAACACAAAACTATCCCTTTTTAGGACATAAGCATATGACCATCAATCCTAGTATCGTTGTACTTGGCATTTTATGACTGAACTAACTCATATTATCTTTACCTTTACGAAAAATGTTATTCCTATGACAGGTATATATATATATATAATTATGCGTTTGTGGAGATTGTCTATTTTTATTGAGATCATAAATTGATCCGAATTAGACAACCATTGAAAACATGGAAGCACCAAACGGCCGTTTCCTCCTAATATGAGACTTTTCATCAGTGACCGTCTGCGGCACCACGATTGAAAGTTGAACCCAGGACCTTCAATCTCTCATGCAAACTCTTAATCTCTAGACCACCTGGTAGGGATCCATTGGTGTGCAAGTCTGACTTTAATCAATTCACCATTTTGTGCAATTCTCTTCCATTGTTTCAGATGAGTACTTTTCTCACAAGTTAGACTTGTGCAACATTGGATGCCAGCTCAGCGGTATAAATGTTATGCGTTGTTTGTAATATTTTACTTGCTGCGTGTACCGTGTAAACCAGCTGTTTATAGTTTAATGTGTTTTTACATTCATTTGTGTTACCGAATTGTAGTTTTGCGTGATTAATAATATTTGAGGCGTGAAATGCGATTAATTGATCTAAATTTTGTACTTATCGACGCTCGTAAGCAAAGTGTATATTTACAAACTGTGAGAGGTTGGCACAACATGAGAGTCAGTAAATTCCCTCACGATCACCAATACAATTTGCTTATAAGTTTCAGGGCTTTTTAGAGACTACCCCTAATCATACAAACCAAAACATTGAGCTCAAGAGTTAACACGATGAATAAATGAAACACAAAGTGCTCTTTAACTGATCTAACACATCTACCTGAAGTTTGTGCTGATATGATGTCGTTCAGAAGAACGATGAATCATCTAGCTCAGAGAACAAAACTCCATCTAACACTTCTCTCCTAACGATCGTTGATCCTTAAGCTTAACTGTTGAAAAAACAAAGGTAAGCTACGCTTTATTCCTGTGTTTACTGGCAAATTCGAAGAGAAAATGCGTAGTAAGAATCTAAATTTTGTTTGATGTTTTCTCATAAATCAGCCATTTAAAACGCTACATTCACACATGACTCACGAATTCAGAAAATCAGTTTTTTACTACTCCAGGTAGGTTTCTCGATTAACAATCCCTTCTTCAATATATACATATATCGTATATGTTCAAAGAAATACTTTCTTCATAGTGTAATTCACGAGTCGATCTTAACTAGAAAATCATCGGAAATTCTGGAAGCCTTGAACTGTTGTTTCGTCCTAATAGGAAAATCCTCATCAGTGCACATCTATGATCCCATATGTGGGACTTGGACCCAGGACCTTAGGTCACATGCGCACTACCGAGTAGTCCTATACTAGAACGAAATACCTATCCAATGCTTCCAGGTTTTCAATAGTTCTCTACTTTAGATCGACTTATGAATTCAACTATGAAAATCCTACTATCTCCTCCACAAATCTCCTTATACTGAAATTGTTTTTTCTCGTTTTATTTTTGCATAATATAGAACACTTGATCAACTTATGAATGAAGCAATCAATGCAGGTATTCTTCATGTAAATGAATAAACTTATTTAAGTAGTATGTTCTTTTCTTGTTAACTTACTCAACTCCATACTTGATATGTAAGATAATTTTTAATATTTTCTATACTATTTATTTATAAATAAGTAGTATGAATATATTGTAAATGACTATTGAATAATCTCTTCATGATTTATTTTGTTTTAAATCACTATATTAATCTTTCAAACAATAAACTAATGAACAAATGAGTCGCTGTGGTGTTCATTTAATATAATGACCGTGATATTGTATTCATGATATTTTGATATTTAGTATTCTAAATGATAATTATTATTTCACTGGTTGAAATCATGAGTCAATTGAAGCTAGACCACCATTCAAAACCTGGAAGCACTGGACGGCCATCCCGTCCTAGTATGGGATCGCTTAGCAGTGAGCATCTACGATCTCGCCCCCTGCGAGATTCGAACCCAGGACCTATCAGCCTCGCGCCAGGCGCTTAACCAACTAGACCACTGAGCCGGCTACCATCCAACGGTGTTAATGTCTAACTTCAAACAATACACGAACTTGCGTCCTGGGTTCGAATCTCACGGGGTTTGGGATCGTGGATGCGCACTGCTGAGGAGTCCCATACTAGGACGGGATGGCCGTCCAGTGCTTCCTGGTTTTGAATGGTGGTCTAGCTTCAATTGACTCATGATTTCAACCAGTGACATTTCTAGAAAATCTCTACAAAACCCATTGTGATGATAATTATTATGTTGTGCTATATACGAAAATTTATATGCTTTGCGAGTGAGACTATAATAATTTATGGACGATCTTTGAACGACGCTAAAAGTAACTTGAACCAAATTAGAGTTATAAAACATTGTAGGGGATTGGAATTATGATTTACAGTTGATAGTTAGGTTTAAGAATTAAGATTTAAAGTTTTCATCACGAACTGACAACAGTTGTTATAATGCTAAAACATAATTTATCCAAATGGATGAATGAATTTCGCGCCAAAGTCCGAGATCTTTTATTTTATATATGATTGATTCGTTCATAAATTATAGTCTCATCGCCTTGTGATTTGGTTTTGGTTATACTGTCCATCATTTATATTGTTTTACATAATATGTAACATATCTTCAACTTGTATTCATTGCAGTATATATATGAGACGGTAGTTTAGAGATTGTTAAGTTTCACACCACCGGCTGTTTTTGGATAGATAACCATTAATAATCAAGAAGAGTTGATTATTTGATTCACTCTATTATGTGACTTCTTAATAGTTCTTATCCACCACTCAAAAAACGCCATTTTATACATAAGAAGTCGTTCATAGTTCAACAATTGAGCAAGTATTGTTCACATGTGATATATATTCTCAAAGAAAAGACTGTATATCTTCACAGTGTGAGGAGATTGAGGTACAAGCTAAGGACAAAGTCAAATATATTATCCTAAACAATCGATATTAATCAACTGATGCGATGCTTGTAAAGCTCTGAAGGATATTTCTTCATGAAAAAGTGCACAATCATCAAGTCAATGATTACTCGTCTAATCAGTATAGAAAAGTACAGGTTTGTTGACCAAGATTTCAGAGATATTATAAGCTGTTTGTTTAAAATCACAAACATATTCTACTAGTCAAATGTTTCTCTCAATGTTCTGATATTGACTTCCGACTGATATTTTTAACAAACAGTGATTAAAATGCCGATCTATGAGGTACAAAGTTAACCCAGCTCAGAATGCAACAGACATCTACAGATGATAGATCAGTGTGACGCCGTATCGAAAGAATTCATTCAAAACAATGATCGGATTTGAGAGTGAACATCAGTCAATATGAGAATTTAGACTGCCACAATGTGATATGGTCACCAAAGTAAACTAAACAACTAGAAATCTTTACTTAACTTTGAGTAGCATCGAGGTTGATAGAAATGAGCAAATTCTAAATGAACACTTTAGGTCGTTGGGTGACGAATCGAAAACTTTCGTACGATGCATTTCTATGTCTACTACTTTGTGATGTGAATGATATTACTGGATAGTGTTTTGTAGTGGTCGACCGAAAATTTTGATAAATTAAGTTTACTTGAGGATGTATTGAAAATATGTTATTCTTCGCATTAACTACTACTATTAAAAGTTCTAATCGCCACTTTTCATGACTTATATCCTTTCCAAGCATCATGTGACGAAATCTCAGTCACAACATCGATTTCTTATTTTTATACCTGAGCTAACCAATGATATGCCAACTAGTACCAGTAGTCTTGAGTCAACTCTTGTTCCTCATTGGTCCTCTATATAGTAGTTTCTCGCCTCACCTTGTTTGCCTTGACTGTTCAGTCCAGAACATAATATCAACCTTCACTATATTAATTATATATTTCGAACATACGCTGTTTATATTTAAGTACACCGGACCGAATTTCACCATAAAATAAAAAAATAGAAACTATACGAGATTTTACTGACCCGAAATCTGATTCCAGTTATATCATAGGTTTGATTGAAATATACCTATCATCAATCCTCTTATATAGTTAACGACTTAAATCGCGTTAATGAATAACGGAATTGAATAAATCAAATACGAGAATGGATTTCTGAATACATTTATTTTGTACATTCATTGATCGGAACAGACAATCAGGGAATCGCAGCGAATGAAGCGAATAGTGAGCGAAGCGAAATGAAAGGATGCGTAGTGGAAATGTCGTGTGAGACAACTCCATGTAAACAAGCGGTAATCAATATTTATAGTCACAGAAATGTGATGATTAGGATAAGAAGTGTACACAAATATACGCTCACATAAAAACAATCAGGTTTGGTAAGCGAATAATCAACGGTATTGAAACGTGAATCAAGAAGAATGAATAAACTGAACTGTCCAGAAGCTAGAATAAGTTACATGGGCTTCACATAGTAACCGACACTACAAAATCAAGCCAAAAGTGTCTGTGTATGGGAACTGTAGCCAATAACTTGGAAATAAGGATTTGTTCTTATTCCATTAGGTTTCCGTCAGATGTGCTGCGGCCACCTTGGACGTGTTGTCAACTCGTACTTATTTCTTGGATTCCTTTTAATTTCCTTATCCAATTTAGTTGGTATGTTTAGGGGTATAACCACGTGTATATCATTTTCAGTCTCCCTTCTTGTCCAGTCGCCATTTCTCCAACTTCATAAATGATCTTCCTTCTCTGCGTATTACAGTTCCAGTCTTCCAAATTTTCACTAACCCATGGGAATATCTTGTCATTACCATTTGCGTTAGCCATCAAAGATTAATTTAATGGGTGTCGTAATATATCCATATAAGTTACAAAATACAATAATATCTAATCATTCCCGGAAATCATCACGTAACATCTGTCAGTCTAGACATGTCTTTGATAGCGTTGATACTATCTGGATCTGGGTGACGACCTTTCTTATCAAATATATGTTCAAGTTGTCTAACAGGCTCGACCTGGGATTCGGACTTTTTTTGGAAATGGAAACCAGTCTGCGATATTTTTGTAAGCACAACGTCCAACAGATTCATTATTTCCTGTGTGGGGCCCTTTATTTTGTCGTCATTTTATATCAAGCGATGTTGTCGAAAGGGCTCGGGCCACTAAAGTCGAGAGCCCTTTCGAAAACATCGCTCGATATAAAATGACGACAAAATAAATGGCCTCACAAAAGTGGTGAGCCCGACGTGATGAGTAATGGGATAAGAAATGTACACATACCTACGTGCTCATATAAAAACAGTCGAGATTGATAAATAACAAGGTCAGAATGTGACTCAAGTAGAATGAATAGAATGGGCTGTCCAAAAGCTAGAATAATGTATATGGGCTTAACATAATAACTGACGCTACATCTGAGCAGTAGAACTAACAACTATATGTCATCCAGATAGACTGCTACATCTTCCAGGTTGCATGTCGTAGTATCCATTATTTGCTGAAAACGGGATTCACATCTTATCGTAAGTATGATTTTACTTTCCCAATTTCGCAGTGTTCCAACTTGTTTTGGAACTATTTCATGCTTCCTGAAAAGGTTTACTCTCGTTATGGATTTTTTAGTTACATGAATGGATAGGCAGATCTCTAGGACTATTTGAGCTTTTCATGGTAAATAATTCAGTCAATGGTACATCCCATAGATTTTATATGTTTATCTAATCTATACCAATAAGGTCCAAATGATTTTTGTTTGTTAAATGACAATTTCCTGTAAAGTAGTTATCTCAGAATTCAACAGAGAATTTTATTGTTCCAAAAAAGCTTTAATATGTCTCTGGTTGCATTTCGAACTGTGTACTCGGTTGATAATACTTATGAACAACCCTTTATATTCCGTGTCATTTTAGAGAATAACATGATATCTGATGCTGTATCCAATTGTAATTGAATATGAACACTGATACCCCATCATTTCAAATACCTTCCTTTATCCGCTATACTTAGAAGGGAGGGAGCACCGAATACTTATTCAACACACAATAGCAATGAGGTTGTGAAGAGTTAGAAAATGTAAAGTGCGTATAATTAAAAAAAAGGAAGAGCAACAATGAATAGAAGTTAGTGTATAAGAGTGAAATAATAATATTAAAAATGGATACTAACATATACTGCACATTACCAACTCACATACACCGAACACAAGCACATTACCACCAACATCTTGAAATGGTGGAGATTTGTAGCTCAGACAGACGTCTATCAGAAGTTTGTGGTGATGATGTCGTTCAGAAGAACGATGAAAGCTCGACGACCAAACCATCCAGCTCAGAGAACAAAACTTCATGAAAACCACCAACATCTGCACTATGACAAATACTACATTGGTAACAAATTATTCATAATCTCCTTCATCATTAAATCAGGTAATCAGTAAACAATAGGTGTATTGTGCTCTCTGCTTAACCAATATTATTTATTTGGACTAATCAATGACAATAGGAAAGAGAAAATAATCACTGATGGTTTTCGTCAGATCAGTGATACCTTTTTCTTATATTTCCCGATTGACTGTGCTAATTCAGAATTACAAACGTACCGATCCACCTGTACCTGTCAATAGACATGTACATACGAAATGAAGTATTTGTTCAACAGGAATGAACAAAGCACTCATTGTTCGTGCCTACTTACACATGCCAAACCAAACATTTCCAACTGATCACTTTATGAACATGCCTTAACTACTCAACGTATCTTTCGTCTTCTTGTCAATACATCTGTTGTCGGCATCGTTCTGAAATCCATGAGACTGATTAGTTGTATAGTTACGAGTCAAATATACTGTTGCTTCTCATTCAACCATGACCCGGGAAATTACGGTCACGCTGGATTAGTACTTACTGTTACTCATTGTCACTAGCATCTTATTAATATTGGAGGATATATTTCACTCTATCATCCATGGTGGATGCGTCAACACAAGCTTGTCTGTATAGATCATCGGTAATTGTTAGCAGGATATAGGTTGGATTGAAGCGTGTTACATTCATTATTGTGTTACTGCACTCTGATTGGCTACTTCTTATCCAATCAGCGCTAATGGATACTTAGAGCATACTCTGGAATCATTTTATTTAACACTATAAATTTGCTATGATTTTTCTTATTGTGATTCCTACTTCCATCTACCCTTGTTAGTTGGAGTATAATTTCGTTCCTGTTGAACCCTGTGTAGTGTTTGAATGAACTAATGATTCCTGTGTACTTGTTGAATGCTTGATTTTGAATTCCAAATACAGTACATTCGTTCGTGCTTATCTAGTACTTCTTGATCCAATTGCGTTATTTCTGGGATTCTTAGTTTATACTATAATTCAAATACTTTTAATCATCACACCGTGTTCTGATTTGGGGACTTGTCAAGGTTTTCCAAGTCACTAAACACATCAACATCCATATTCACGGATTTCGTTCCTGCAATGTTTACTCTAAAAGAAATATTTTCCCATATTCTGGACTACTGGGAAATCTTAACCGCTCGTTCACCTATAATACTAATAAAGTTTGTTTTGTGGAATAATTTTACCAAGTCATTGTTCTGATTCTGAAGTATTTCATCTAACAAACTAGTCTATCAATCTCCGATTTATTACTTCACTGATGATTATTGAGGTTGAGCATTTTGGAAAGGGACTTACTATTTTCTTGTTCATTGAATTAAGTGGATTTCCTTAGTCCATTAGTGCTGGGAACTGATCCTAATGTGTGTTGATCCATGTCGTTTATACCTTATTTCAGTACAGTGAAATGAAGTTATGATAAATTAGTTTCAACTACATCGCATAACTAGACATGTGCAACAAACGATATCGAAGAATGAAAAGTTCAGTAGTGATATTTAACTGAATATTTAAACAAAGCTTGTAAACCAGTACTGTTATCCCACTTCGACCAATTTAAGGTCACATTATTCAACATTTCCAATCATTGGTCAGTAGTACTTGGCAATTCCTAATTAAGAAGTTTCCATGTTTCCACATGCTTCCGACCAACAATCAAGAATATCATGAATTGGATTTCACATGAGAGTTGAACATTAGTTTTTGATACTTTGTCTTCTACGGGATGAGGTTGCCGACCCTATGTCCAACGCTCCTTCTTTGCCCGGTCTTGGGACTGATAGTAAATCTAGAATAGCTACAGGCTGAGTCAAAATGTTCAATACGAATGTCAAGACAATTCTACTGTACGAGGCTGAAACTTGGCGAACTACCACAACCATCATTAAAAAAGTACAATTGTTTATAAACAATTGTCCACATAAGATACTCGATACCCGTCGTCCGGATAGCATCAACAACGACCTACTGTGGCAGAAGACAAACCGGCTTCCAGATGAAGAGGAAATTAAGAGACGACGGTGGAAGTCGATAGTAGATACATTACGGAAATCACTAAATTACATCACGAGGCAAGCGCTAACGTGGAATCCTGAAGGAAAACGGAAAAGAGGAAGGCCGAGGGACACACTACGTCGGGAATCCGAAACAGACATGGAAAGAATGAATGATAACTGGAAAGGATTGCCCAGGACAGAGTTGGATGGAGAATGTTGATGATCGGCCTATGCTCCTCCAAGTGGGCTAACAGGCGTAAATAAATAAAGTGTTTCTATTTATTCTTGATATCCTATTCGTTTTGATAAACAATTATACATTAAATTAATTAAGCGTATCTTTTCTCTTCATTTGTGTTGTTTTGTTTATTCAACATTTAATCAATATTTTGATATGAAATAATAAAAGACAGTTGTAATAACCACTGACCACATTGTGATCCATTTTTTTGGACGACTTCTTGATTCTAGGAAAGGAGAAAACACAATGAATGAAAAGATGAATTTTTCAAGGATTATTTTCAATGATTTCAGGAAAATACTAACTAAAACTACCTATACTACAAATGGATTTATTTGAAGGACGATGGGATTATGATCAGAAGAACTGAGATTTCATTCAGTTGATAGTGTTGGCATTGATGATATTGTGCTTGTGGTTATTTTTTATCGCCTGGGTTTAGTGTAGGTTGTTAGTGATGTGTAGTATGTGGTTATATGTATGCGGGGTCCCGGCCGACTTCGTGGTGGTGTCGTGGTTAGCCTGTTCGTCCACCAGATGTGTGATTGTTGATAGCTGTCTGGTGGACTAGGCCCGCCCACATCTACTGGATGGAGAGTGTCTGTAAAACTTATCCAGACGACTACGACGACAATGGCTTAGCATAAACTGGGAAGATAGTGGTTTCCTCCTTATTGCTCTCTCACGTGCAAGCACAACACACTCTCATTGACTTTAACCTTATTACGCTCATTCCAATCATTATCCCAATACAATACTTACATCTAAATTATTTCCACCTTCGTTCACCCAGTCAGTAAGTTAATCAGTTCACGCCATTTCCACTTCAACTATACACCCTACCCCACAGTATCAAACACTCGCTCGTTCGTTTCACATACTCATCACATCATGCTTATCTATTCACCCTATGATGACTGCCTTCTCACACATAACATACAGAAGGTAATGAATTGGTCGATCTGCTGAAAGCTGTGTTATACCTGTTTTATTATGTCCAACAAGTCTATGATTCATACTACAGATCGTTATCACCAGTGATATGTTGATTTCGCATGAATATTTTAGAAAAGGAATGAATAGCCCCTAAAAATGGTTAACATTGGAACTGAAATACCGATAGTTGTATTCACTTGTCTACTAAAATCTGGAACATGAAGCTTGCTTGATGAGTGATTGTTAACCTTAGTGTTGAATGATGGTGAGAAATTAGTGAAAATGTATCTAATTAAGATGTGCTACTTATTATTTTAGTATGTAGCATGAACTGTCTAGTCAAATCACTTATCCATAGATATAATTTATTGATTTTGTGTTTAGACTTTGGTTTTCATGAATTGTTACTTCTTAAATGCTCAACGTCACCTTATCACAATTTAGGTGCTTATAAATATATTGATCAGACGTATTTATCCTTCAATGATTACATCTGAATGTAGTATTCCATTCATAAATTCATTCTTCCACATTACATACAAGATGTTTTACAGTAATGTGTAACGTTTCTCGATAACTCTACTTAGTTAGTTTGTTTTATATGTCGATAGATCACTTGTGAGATGTTGTACAATCAAATGTCTGTACGTCTCGATCAACGTTTAAAAATACACTTTACCATATAAACAAACTATCAATCATCTGTTTCAAATTATCTAATGGTAGAATACCACTCTTAACAATGCGCAATCATCAATTCAGTGAGTTTCATTCTAAATACTAGTTTTCTTCACAAGTGATTGGTCACTGGATGATGATCAATGTCATGTGTGTCAAGTCCTTATTTAGTGCAGATCGAATGCTATCGACCATGTTGCAATGTGGTCACCAGTCTAGGTGACTCGATACTGCGTGCACTATATATTGAGATTAGATGGTGGTTGGAGGTCGATAGCATTTGATCTGCACTAAATAAGGACTTGACACACATGACATTGATCATCACCCGGTAATCAATCAATTGTGATTACATCTCAGTCCTACAGGAGGTCAGTCGCGGCCCGGATAGCTCAGTGGTAAAGTGTCTGACTGTGAAGCTAGGTGGCACGGGGTCGAACCCTCCAGGGAGCACCAGTTCCCTCAAGATTGCAGATACACCTTGCTGACGAGTGCAAAGTAGCACAAAACCCAGGTCCAGGGGTTTCTGTCGACGACCTCCAACCACCATCTAAACTAGTTTTCTTCGTCAGTGTTATGTTTAATGTTCTGGCTTTATTTTTATGGTTTGTTATGTTTTCATTACTAATTTGTCTATTATATTCAGAAAGTATATGTTTTCATAAATGTGATAATCCTTTTTAAATAAACTGATTCACTTTACTTGTATCTCTATTTGTCTATATGACAGGTTTTATTTGGAATTACGTTCACTAAGTTCACTTGGTGTTGTTTACTTGTATCTTCACATTGTTATTTAGGACTACAATTGATCAGTCTCTTGTTGGTATATGTGCATCCTGTGTGAATTGATTCGATATTGCTTTAAGTCACAAGCTTTATATGCAAAGATGGATAATGGCTGACAATGGAATCCAGGAGGCACGTTTCACCCTATTCGGCACTCGTCAGATGGATGTACCTGCGTCTCAGAATTAATGTTCACCGTGAGACTCGAACTCAGTACCGTCCGATTCAAACGCCATTGTGTTATCCACTTATGCAATGGGATGAAGCTATATCCACTTGTGGTTGTTTACTTGTATCTTCCCATTGTTATTTAGGACTGCAATTGATCAGTCTTTTGTTGGTATATGTGAATCCTGAATAATGTTTTTTCTAGGGAAACACTGAACGTTTGTGATCTTAATCAGTTTAATTTACTTGTTATATCAATCAATTAACTGTACAATAATGATATACCATTTGATGAGACCGATTATCATTTGATTTAAACAAAAAAGATTATTAAACGAGATTGATAATTTCATTCAGCTAGCCATCGGACACTTACCAGAATCATTCCAGTCTAAATTAACAGCATACAATTTGTCATGATTAACAATACATCATGGATAAAATTTAGTTAAACAACGGTTGAAATCCAAGAAGTACTGGACGACTTTTTTTTACTCTAATATGGGGCGCCTCGGTGAGGTGCATCTCTACGTGCCCATCGGAGATCAAAGCAAGAACTTTTGATCTCTCAACAAACGCTTCACCTCTAAACCATTGAGGTGGCATAGTGTACCTAAAGTTACCAACTTAAATAAAGTCGTGATATAACGCAACCACCTACCATCATCATTGACGGATGATACTTTCACACTCGACAGGATTAAACACTCGCTAGAACTCCAAGAATCACTTCATGTCGTTAATTTCGCATTTACTTGTTAGATTAAGTAATTGTTAAATTCTTTAATAAAAAATTCCTAACTTTTGCATTGAAAATGTTTGTTTAGTAGGTAAATCTATTAGTAATTTGTTATTGCCCCCAATTTCCTTGGTACGGCCGAGAGTTGTGAGAGTCCACCCTCCCCCTCGAAATGCTTTCACAAAGCCTCACGTATACAGCCACTATCATGGAAGTCCAACTCAAATGGCGTATGAACCAATTATAGATCACCTGCTATTTTGGAACTGCACCTCCTGACGTTGCTCCACTGATTTGTGGATCAGCCCTTTAGGTTAAAGACTCCGTGTTTGGCCCCTAAGAAAACCACCTGGGCACGCGGGCAGTATCACAGCTCACACATAAATCGAATTTTTTATGTTGTGCATATCTCTTTGGAGCCTCCTTGTACCAATATTTATGTGTTCAACTACATAAAATTTGTTATTAGTTAAGTATTCATTCTCGTTAGATACAATTATTGCCTTATATATTTAGGATTCTTAAGGATTGAAATTCTCTTACCAAATATAATCTAAGTATATATTTTATAGTTTTACTGAATATAATTTAGTGGTAGTTTGACCTTGGTTTGTTATCTTACTTTGATAAATATATTTTTATGAATAAAGTTTTCGACAATCATTTAGTAGAGTGGTTTTGAGTGCTGTTATAGGTATGACGGCGGTTATCACTTCTCAGTTGTCCACACCGTAGAGGGTTTCTTCTGGAGGTACCTCAAAAGGAAACTCGATTAGAGGTGGTCTTAGTGACCTCAGAGCATGACCGCAGTGCCCAAGAGACAACTGCTTGAGGTCGGTCACACACGATGTTTTTGGGAGTAATTTCTGTGTTAGCGCCGTACTTGTTGAGACCTTACCACCAGAGACGGATATCCGTGGGATAACGTGGGGTGTGCATTTTTCGGACAGACCGTTTCTAACCCATACCTCCTTGTGGGAAGGTAGCATCGCTGTTACTCTGGTGGTCCGGATGAAACACTGTACTGCCTTCACACCTCTGCACACTCAGCAGTACGACTTCGCCTTCGGACCTTGGGTTTGTTGCTTTTAGTCTTACTGTTCTTTAACCGACCTGTCTGACATGGTAGAACCTTGAGGAACGATTGTTCCAGCCAGTACAGCTCGATTGATTCATCACAATAGACAAGCCTGATCACCACGTCAAGGTAGCAACAACGGTCGGTAAGGCAACTCGGACCGGTCCTACGTTGTAGCTGACTATCATTTAGGAACATACTACAAAATGGTGTCATTGTATTATAAATCAATCTCTAGTTACTCATTGTTTATACGATCTAATTGTGAACCGTTAGAGAGTGCTTAGATGTATATTTGGAAAGAGCACACCTTGTGTGGTCAATATATGTCCACAAAATTAGCCAAAAATACGATTACACATCTCTAACAGGTAATATTATTGATAAGGAAAGTTTCTTCGTTGAAATGTCTCCATCTTGTTCAAGTGTATTTTATTGTGGCGCTGTTCAGACTGTAAATGTTGACATAAAAAAAGATGCCACAAATTGTTTGTAATTAGTCGATAGCAAAAATGAACAACTTACAAATGAAGATAAGTGGTGGCTCTAAAAATAATGAAATAAAATCCCACTGTATTTCAACTACTCAAATGCACTCATTATCTTGAAAGTAATTTTATCTCTGTCACTCGGAATCTTCAAAACTAAAAGAGAAAAGGAAGATCAAAGGACACATTACACCAAGAGATGAAGACAAACATGAGAAGAATGAACAACAATTGGATAGAACTAGAAAGGAAGGGCCAGAACAAAGTGGTTTGGAGAATGCTGTTTGATGGCCTACGCCCCATTGGGAGTAACGGGCGTAAGTAAGTAAAATAAAGAGTGGAAATGCTTTTCACAGTCTTTTACCGGTCGGTTCAATTGTTTCTAGCGCTTGTGGTAACATCCGGTTATCAGATGTATGAAAGAAATTGACAGAAAGACATGTTCTATTCAGGTCTCGAATCATTTGGCACATATCATTATGGTGTGTCTAAACTATTGGGTCAATAGATGCTCTTATAACAGAATTATTGGTTTTAACGTTATTGACAGAAGTTTCGTTATTGACTGGTAAATTAAACTACACAGTAAGGTTAAACTAATACAGATTAGTTAATCGTTTGATAATCTTCGGTGATCGAATTCTGAATTTAATGAAGAAGCCAAAATGGAACTTACAACTAAACTAAGCTGCCCATCCTTTTTATTTTCTTGAACAATTATAGATCATCGTCTATAAGTACTATATTAAAACATTTGTACCTTATGACTTTAATGGAAACTTTGTCTATCGAATGCCACTAGAGAAAACTTGAGATTAGTCATTATTGATGGATCGGTTAAATGGGTTGATTTACATTGTTAGTTTCAATCTAATATAAATGAAGTAAGAATAATTAAGATGGTTGGAGATAGTTGATAAGGAACCCTAGGCGTAGGTTTCGTATTTTTTGTCACTCGGTGGTAAGGTATATTTAGGTACAGTGTTTCCTGTCGGATTCCTCAAACTACCTTATACCTCACTATGGTAAACTCAATGTCGAGTCACCTAAACTAGTGATTAAATTAGAACATAATCGATACGATTCGATCAACACCAAGAAGACCTTGACATACATAACACTTCTCCATGACCAACCGATTAGAATAGTAACGTGTCCGTACGCAACTCTGTGTAGTGAGGTCATTGGATTGGTGTCGTTTTAGTGACTTTTCCGCTCGATTTATGCTAAGAAGATGACCTAATTTGATTATTTAGAAAAAGTAAAAGTCGTAACAATGTTTTCGTAGGTGAACTTGCGGAACGATCATTATCATGACCCAAAAATATACAATAAAGCATTCACTTGACTTCGCATTGGACTGCATATACGCTGACTTAGTGGTATTTACCCTAGGATTCAGCGATTGAATGAAGCATGTACCTAACTTCGTGCTGGACTGCATGTTCGCCGGCTTAGTGGTATTTACCTTAGACTTCATCTAGCATCTGTTTAACTGAAGACTGAAAAGTGAAATCTGCCTTCGTTTCTCACTGAATAATTGTTGGTTATTTGTCTGAAATGTTAATTCTTATTTATGGAGTCCATTTGGGGCATTACTTACCAGTTGTCGTCATTTTCGCTTTTATTGAAGTAGCTAAAATGATTAATACGAAAAATACAAAAATATTTGATCGAATTACATAAATATTAATTATATAAATAAATCTCTTATTGATGATTTCATAATTCAATAACACTGTAACACAGATTCGTAATCATATTGATTAAGTATTGTAGATGAATGGAGTTAGCCCCCAAATGCCGAAAGTGGGGAGAGTTCGCTCTCCCTCTCGAAATGCTCTACCATGGCCACGCGTATATAGCCTCTGCCAGAAAAGTCCTACTCACTCCCTTCTCTTGACGGGGGTGTTGTTTACGAAAATGAGAGGACGAAAAGCGAATGTCCGGCGCCTTAACTGAATTCCAAACCAATGGTGCACATTGGCTCCAGTATCCTGCGGGAACAAATGGTGTATGAACCAATCGTTGGTCACCGGCTACTATGGGACTGCATCTCCTTACGATGTTCCACTGCCTTGTGGATCAGACCTTCAGGTCGAAGGCTCCGGGTGTGGCTCCCTAAGAAAACCACCTGTTTCGGTTTGGGCACCCATGTAGTATCACAGCCCTCACACAAATCAAATGAGATTTGTGTGGCGTATATGTATTTAGTGCCTTCTTGTACCAATATCTATGTGTTAAAATAAATAAATAAATAGTTGATTAAGCTTATTGATAAACTTTTTCAATGCGTTATAACTTGTGGCTTTTTTCCCTTATCAATATATGACGTAATGATACTGTCAATTAAAGAACAGTGAATTATCGACCAAACCAGTGACGGCCAAAACCCATATGAACAGTCTAGAGTCCTTATTGGTCCTTCTTCCTGGCTAGCCTTGTCTGTTGAGCACAGAAAACTCATCTCAGCTACCATTATATGAATCATCTATTTCGAACACACTGAGTTCTTATAACGAACCAAACAGACCACATCATACCATAAAATAGGAAATGAGATTTGTACGAGATCTAGCCAGAAATGGATGTGAATGTGAGAGACTGTAATTAATAGACTGAGCATAACTCGAATCCCGCGAGTGGGATCGTGGATGCGCACTGCTGAGAAGTCCCACAATAGGACTAAACGGTCGTCCAGTGTTTCCAGATTTTCAATGGTGGTCTAACATCAATCGGATCATGATTTCAATCAAAAACTTTACAATATCCACCACCCTTAAACTGGTAATTCTCCTATTAATTTAGTATGTGAATGTTTCATCCCACATGTTTGGTTTCAATAAACTAATTAGATCATAGAAGATAGTTGCAAACAACTCAAAGGGTTTGAAATGTAATGTTTAGTGAAAATTATAATATAATATGTAGGATGTATTCATTAGATGGACAGAAAAATAACCTAAAGTTCTAGATACAACATGACTTATTGTACATTGAAATTGTTACCTGAAATTTAATAATAATGGGTTAATCCAAAGACTTGAAATATCACTTCGAAATGAGATTATTCTGTTATATCCCGGTAAGAATTATGACTTTTGAGAACTATTTATGAACTATTACTATGCATATATTCTTATTGTATAGTTGTTAAGTAATCAAACTATGTATATTGATATTGTTCTTATTAAAAGCTTCATTTTGATTCATAGACTATTACTGCTACTACTTACTTGAACACATAAATATTGGCACAAGGGGGCACCCAGTTACATATGCCCGGTTGCCCAAACCGAAGCAGGTGGTTTTCTTAGGGGGTCACACCCGGAGCCTTCGACCTGAAGGTCAGATTCACAAGACAGTGGAGCATCGTAAGTAGCCGGTGACCAACAACTGGTTCATACGCCATTTGTTCCCTCAGGGTACTGGAGCTCATGCGTACCATTGGTTTGGAATCAGGGTTTTCCAACTCACTTAGGTGAACTCTCCATGTTCACCAACCTGGTCAAAGCGCCGGATATTTGCTTTTCGTCTTCTCAATTTCGTAAACAATACCCGTGGTGCGAGAAGGCAATGAGTAGGACTTTTTTGGCAGAGGCTTTATACGCGTGGCCATGGTAGAGCATTTCGAGAGGAAGAGCGAACTCTCCCCACTCTCGGCCGTACCAGGGCATTTGAGGGCTTTTCTACTATTATACGATTTACTGTTCTTCAGTTATGCCCAGTCTATTAATTACAGTCTCCCACACTGATATCCACCTTTGGCTAGATCTTGTTGTTTTCTATTCTGTGGTGAGATGTGGTTTGTTTAACTGGTATATAAACCCAGCATATTTGAAATACATGATTTTTATAGTGGTAGCTGAGATCAGTTTTCTGGGCTCAATAGGCAGGGCTAGGCAGGAAAAAGGACTGATAAAGATTCTAGACTGCTCGTACGGGTTTATGCATGATTGACTCAGTCGATAATTCAGTTTTTTTATGGAGTTTTGTTCTCTGAGCTGGATGGTTTGGTCGTGGAGCTTTCATCGTTCTTCTGAACGACATCATCAGCACAAACTTCAGATAGAAGTGAAGTGTTCGAATTTCGCCATATGTGTTCCATAGCTTGTTCTGTGCACCTTGATGTTGATTGGTTCTTATTGACCTTAAATTTGTCATTGTTTACTTCATTGTTTTGGTTGTGTCTCCCATTGGTTTGATTTTTGTTCTAATATTGTGCATGATTTTCCTGATTGGTTGGTAAATTGGATTGATTTCAATATACTTTTTGATTGCTTATTGACCTGAGTGCCAGGCTTCTAAAAATTCTCTGGTGTGTTTGGAGTTTCCTCTGTCTAAGATTTCCACATTTTTCCAATCGAATGAGTGTCCGTAGTTGTCCACGTGTATTGATATGAGTGAGGAAGCATCATGGCGTTTGACTGCTAATTGGTGTTCATATATGCGAAGGTGAAGGGGGCGTCCGCTTTGTCCGATGTAGTGTTTTTCGCAGTTGGCACAATTTATTTTGTAGATGATGTTTGATTTGTTTTCCTTTGTTATTTCATCCTTTGGTTTGTATAGGATTGATTGTAGTGATTTTGTTGGTTTGTGTGCCACACCTATTTCTAAGGTTATAGCAGTGTCGTTGCGGTATCTGATATGCCTTTTATGTATGGTAGGGCGATCCTTTTGTTAGATTACTGGTTCTATTTTCTGGTTAGCGTCTTTTCTCTTGCGAGTTAGTTTTCTACGGGAAACTTGGAGAACTACGAAAGCCATCATCCAGAAGATACAAGTGTTTATTACCAATTGTCTACGCAAAATACCTAGGATCCGTTGACCAGACACTATCAGCAACAACCTACTATGGAGGAGAACAAACCAGATTGCAGCGAAGAAAGAAATCTGTAAGAAGCGCTGGAAATGGATAGGACACACATTGAGGGAAGCACCCAACTGTGTCACAAGGCAAGCCTTCACATGGAATCCCCAATACCAAAGGAGGAGAGGAAGACGAAAGAGAAAATTGGTCGGAGAAATGGAGACAGACATGAGAAGAATGAACAACAATTGGATAGAACTTGAAAGGAGAGCCGAGGACAGAGTGGGTTTGAGAACGCTGGTCGGCGATCTATGCTCCATTGGGAGTAACAGGTGTAAGTAATTAAATTTGTTACAACACGTTAAAGGACTCAGGGACAAAAAATGTTTGGACTATATTCTTTATCAGATTTCAACGAGACCTGATATATTTTTGTTGTTAAGAAAGGAACAGAGTTGGAGTTTGATTTGATATAATACGTTATATGACATGACTTTAAAGTGTTGTGTATCCCTAAATTTAATTTTGAATGATCATACTGTTGAATGTATGGAATTTACTGTCTATTCACATTTAGATTCCTGGGGTGTAGTAGGTTCCTCTAGGGTATAAACAAAGAATGGTTGACCTTTTCTAAGCTAATCTTGAAGTAAAGCACGTAGCTGTTATACTATTTTTATAATATTTTCGGACACATTGTTCAGTAAACAAACTACCACATAAATGGAGAAGTATATTTTCATGGTAATATTTAACAGAAGAACTAGTATCTAGACTGTCATGTTCTTGGGAGAATATATTGTGTGAGAAGTTCAACACAACTGAGTTCAAGAACATATGACTAGCCTGACTAGAACGTAAGTATATTTTCACTCCAAAAATACCTGACAACAATCACACTAATAATAAGGTTAGGGAAAGACATAACTCATCTAATACCTGTCCGAATATCTACAAGCTGGACTAAGCAAACAACTAACCATTTTCTTCCTCGTCTTCACATTACTGATGAAATTTGATATGGGATGATATTCAGACTGTGTTTCTCTCGGTTTCAGACTCATCATCTGGAGATACTTGTATCCCAGAGTTGATGTCCACTCTGTAATTCAAACCTAGTGCCTTTCCTTGAAAATACTATTGATTGAGATCATGAACCGATTGGTGTTAGATCACCGTTAAAAACCTGGAAGCAGTGGACAGCCGTTTCGTCATACTGTGAGACTCTGCAGCAGTACGCACCCACGATCCCGCTCACGTGATCCGAGTCCGAATCCTCCAGTCCCGCGCGCGAACGCTTAAGCTACTGTACCACTTAGCCATCCTTCATTGTGCTGAGGTAGATACCTGTGTCTAGCCGATATGAACACTAACACCATTGTATGCCATCTCACTGGTCCAGTAGGTTAGGCGTTCGCGCGCGAAACTGAAGGTCCTGGGTTTGAATCTGGCGGGTGGGGTCGTTGATGTGCACTGCTGAGGAATCTCACAATAGGACGAAACGGCCGTCCAGTGTTTTCAATAACTTCACAATCTCCACAACCACTATACTGAAAATATTGTGTTTTCTATTTAGGTACTGAGTTCAGATAGTCACTTGCATGTGGAGTGAAGTTGTCAACCACTGTATAATCCAAACTATTAATCACAAAACATGGTAAAATAAACTTACTTAGATTAGTTGTCGCCATAGTAACTGAGAAAAAAGAAGACATCCTTTTAGATTTATTTTCAGTTTATATACAAGGATTTTCAGAAATATTTCAGTAAAAAGTCAACTGGTATAGTTTAATCGAAGGTTACTCACTGGTTGTTTGTGTACTGAGAGCTAGTAAAATACAATTAATAAAGTATAGTGATAGAACTTAATCACGGTGTGTATTTCGAATAGCACATTCAAATTAGCATGGGATAGATGAAATATCGCTAGGAGTGGAATCCAGAACGTACATTTCACCTTGTTTGTGTATCTTCAATTGAAACTATCCAAATGTAAGTGTTGATGGTCACATTGTCATTCGATTCAAATACCTTATTGAGTTTCTCCACTTAGCCAGTGATTCCATATAGTCGCTCATTTATGTAAACAGTTTGATTCATCCTATTGTTGATTTTTTAAAAAAACGAGGTTATCACCAAGATATAGGTACATCTGACGAGTACAAAACAAGACAAAATACATGTCTTGAATTCAAAGGTTAGCTACATTTTATCTATTCTATAGAAATTTATAAAATAATAGCTATATTGAGGCAATCTGCATAGAATGCATATTTATATACCCTTGTGAGTCAGAGTAATTTTACATAGGTTTTCAGGAGAACCAGGCACCATCCAGACTTTCACGTGACAGCCCAAATAGTACAGCTCAATTCTGTTTAACAGGAAAGAGAGAGACACCATCCAAGCTTAAACTTTATAACCCGAGCAGTTCAGCTCAATCCCACCTCACAGGAGAACCAGACACCATATAGGCTTTAACGCTACAATCTGAATAGTACAACTGAATTCTATGGCGCAATTACACAGGTGCCAAGCACCCTGGTCGATCAATAGGATATATATATCAGAATAAAATCGATCGGAATTCAGTCTTTAATAATGAAAATTTACTAATATTAAAATGAACCAGAATACAGGTGAGGTCTGCCAATTGTATTGTATGGAAACCATATACATAATACTTCATTTGTGAATTTCCATTGTTTTTCTTTCCCATTCTCTATAATTCTTCCGATTCACAGGTCCTTTCTGGGTTTTTTTTCATACCCTTCTGCTTTCGAGTTTTCCACTTCCCATTAGTGTTACATACTACGTATATCTGTCAATAGATATAAGTAGCATATACCGCAATATTATATATATGAAGAGATATTATGGGGGTCAATAAGATTAAAGACAAAACTTGTACGTAACTAATCTTGATATTTTCTGGAATCAGTCTACATCACTAGATCCTTACAAATTACTTATAGCGTACTTTTCAGCTTATTGTAAAGATATGTATGAAAGGAACATTCATATAATCATCTTGACCACATTCTAATAACGTCATTAGAACGCAGTGATAGGTAATAGTTGAAAACAAAAATTGCTACATAAGCAAAGATCGATAGTGGCTAGCAGTGGAATCCAGGACGTGTATTTCGTCCTATTTGAGACTCTTTGACTGGATGTACCTACATCGCAGAGTTGATATCCACTATGGGACTCGAATGCTAGTACTTTTCGCTTCAAACGCCACTGCGTTATCCACTTAGCTACTGAGTCATGTTAGCCCCCCTGCTTGTTCAATCGGATATCGCGATGGAGTTAAGAGCGAATGGTACTTAGTTCGAGTCCTATCGTGGACATCAACTCTGAGATGTAGGTTCATCCAGTTGAAGAGTCTCAAATAGGACGAAACACACGTCTTGGATTCCACTGCTAGCCATTACCCATCTTCGTTTATAAAGCCTGTGACCTAAAGCAATAAAAGAAAGACTGATCAATCGCAGTCCTAAATAACAATAGGAAGATACAAGTAAAAGAACATCAAATGGATTTTTTTTTAAAATTGCTACTCTTCATTTATTTTTAATTTACTTTTCGGTGTAGCTAAAAAGAAAGAAAGATATTACAGAAAATAGTAGAAATATCTGAAATGATATTCGTTCCATGCTCATCCATAATTATACGTATACTTTACAAGAGGATAGTTTTACATTGATTTTCAGGGGAATTAGGTAATATCTAAGCTTCTACATGACCTAATTAGTATAGTACAGTTATGTGGTACAACTAACACAGGTACCAATAACCCTAATAGGGTCATTCTATGTTCCTATGAATGAATAATAACACATTTAAAGAAATTACATTTAGCACAATTTATCGATTTATGTTTACAATTTTGGTGATCATTTATTGAATTATATAGATCGAATTGGGATGTAACTGATAACTTCAATATCAGTCAATTCACGATATATCTCAATTTGTATATAAACAGATGAGTGGGAGCTTGTTAGTCTTAAGTTTAAGTATTCACTGTAGGACTTGAAGATCATGCGTTTGATTCCAGATGGTGTTATGAATGGACATCACTGATCAGTCTTGTGCTAATACAAAACATTTTAATGAACAAACTCACTTGTATTATTTTTATTGAGATCTATAGATTGATAAGAGATTATCAGTATGCGGTTATGAAGATTGTTTAGTTTTTTTATTAGGATCATGAATTGATTAATGTTAGACCACTATTGAAAACCTGGAAGCAATGGAAGGTTGTTTCGTTCTAGTATGGGATTTCCCAATGATTTGGAGGTTGAGCGTTTGTGAGCGACATCAAAGGACCTAGGTTCGAATCCCACTTGAAAAATAGTGGATATGCACTACTGAGAAGTCCCATGTTATGATGAATCGGCTGTTCAGTGTTTCCATGTTTTCAATGGTGGTCTAACATCAATCGACTCATGAACTTAATCAAAAAATTATTTCACTTTTTATTTTAATTTGATTAAAAAACTTTCAGTGGTAGTTCAGCTTGAAAAGAAGTTAGATTTTTTTAAAACAATCCACAGGTTTTGTGATTTGCGGACGAAATTAATGATGCATCATCTCACTATCAGGACCTCAGCTTTTATAATGAGAATTATAACTCTTCTACATGAAGAAGCTTCAGCTTCCAGAAGTAGAGTCTAAATGGTTTAAATTATTTTCTTTGGTAAAAACTACCACCAACTTTCCTCATTTACTTGGGCTTCTGACCAGTGGTGTCCCTAGAGGAATACAGGCTGAATTTTTTAATTTTTATTAATATTTAATTTAATAGTTGAATTCACGAGTCAATTGAAGCTAGAATACCATGGAAAACCTGGATGCACTGGACGGCCGTTTCGCCCTAGTATGGGACTCCTCAGCAGTGCTCATCCACGATCCTGTCTCACGAGACTCAACACACAGAACCTCCGATTTTGCGAGCGAATGCTGGGATCTAATGACGTTAATCTTTAACTTCAACCAATCCACGATAACATACAGCCGTCTACCATTGTCTTCAGTGAGTAACTGCCTCAAAACAGACACAGTCGGATGGCACTGGTCACGGCTTCTTACTAGAACCCCAGGAACTCAATCTTGAAGCTAGTCACTAGTGAGCACATGATAATCATCAATATAGGGTTGTGAAGATTGTTAAGTTTAGATTGATATTCTGAATGAATCAATGTTAGACCAGCATTGTAAACCTGGAAGCACTGTACGGTGGTCTAACATTCATCCATCATTCGTAATATCAATCAACTTAGTTACCTAAATAGCTGAATTTATTTATTAACGAAAGTATAACCGGTTAAAGTATCAACCATGTGAGTATTTCATGATAACTATAACATCTCTAAAAGGATTTGAAATACGTATAATAATAACATCAATAAATAATATTGAATATGATGGTTTATAGGGATTAGGAACTTTTCATTGAAGCTCATCTATCATTCTAATCAACGCTGTTTTTCACTTTATTGGTGTGGATTTCAATCCCTTTTCAGACACTAGTCTTGCCTCCAAATGCCTTGGTATGGCTGTGGGTGTGGAGAGTCAGCTCTCTCTCTCTCTCTCTCTCTCTCTCGAAACGCTCTCATATGTCTATGTACATACAACCACTGCTTTCCAGAAGATCATGTAACCATCATACAGTATGAAGATGACTTAGTCATAACAAGCGATAACATTCATAAAATTATGTTTTGCTATCAATATTTTAAATGATAATATATAAAGGTTTAGTCCATATTTATCACTTCACATTAGTACTGGAGTTTGTCAATGTGTAATGCAACAACAATTAAAAATAGCATTTGAGCTCATCAAATAATAAGAAACATTTAAAGTCATGGGTCAGTTAGGTAGAAGATTTTCGATCAGTAATTCTGTATCAGATCAAACTAAACGAGTAATCCGTTCTCTAGTCAAACTGATCAGCTTAACATTGTATATAGATAGTGTATTTCCTAAATATTAATTGCTCGTAAAAGGCGAAAGATTTATCCGTCCCAAAATGTACTAGTACGGCCGAGAGTAAGGAGAGTCCGCGCTCCCTCACATGAAGACGTTCAGACAACCACTGACAGGGAAGTCTTACTCACTGCCTTCTCGTGGCATTTTTGTTGTTTATAAAATTGAGACAACGAAAAGCGAATGTCCGGCGCTTTATCTAAAGGAGTTGGAAAATCCTCATTCCAAACTAATCGTGGACATCGCCTCCAAAATCTTGAAGGAACAAATGATGTATGAACCTGTTGTTGGTCACCGGCTACCGTATGATTGTATCTCTTTACATTGCTCCACTACCTTGTGGATCAGATCTTTAGATCAGACTTCAGCTGTAGTCCCTTTGCGAAAACCACTTACTTCGATTTGATCTCCTGAGCAATATCCAAACACTCGCACAAATAATAAATAATGTTATTCTCTTAACTAAATCATTATTATACATAATGTGAGTTCTTCATAAAACATCATCTAAGATTAACCACCATTCGACTTACGGGTTTCACCATTCAATCGATTCAATAGAATAAAAATGACAATTAATATTAAATTAATATTCATGGAATTTCTTTGCTTTTTTTGGCGAGACTATCATTTATGGACGACCTTTGAATGAATCTCAAATGACCTTGAGAAATATTAACCAATCAGAAGACAGTTAAAATATCTTATACGAAACCAAAGGATTCAATTGAATACACTTCTTTGATATGGTTCAAAAACTTGTCAAAGTTAGAAAGAGGTTCAAAGGTTCTCAAATCGTAATGGATATAGCAGAGGAACTCATCCATACGGCTACAGAATAGTCGGCCTCCGGAGACAGGATAAAGTGGTAGAAACTCTTCCAGCCTCGACCACAGGTTCAGTATTGTTTGTGTGTACTCCGATTGTGGAGTCCAAGAAATCTCACTTGTGGATAATGACACGATGCACATAAACAAGTCTATGTAGGCATCGGTATGCTCTCCAATCATCAGTATATATTGTAGTACCTGGTTGCAGCCAATGTTACTAGTGCATTGATTATACAGTTCGCAACAACTATCATAATTTGCCTTAGTCTTATTCTGGATAGAGAAAAAAAGTCCTATTCTATCAAACGGTAGTCTACACAAGGTTCACAAGTCATTTGACTACCACAATCACAAATAAAAGAACTTCCTAATAGTCCCACTTATTGTAGTCTCTCAATGATCACGTTTTCTCTAAAATTCACTGTTGAACCATTCGTACATAAGCATCAAGTACTGAAATTGATGACTTGACCTTACGATCCCTCAAACGTTTGTGTTTGTCTTGACCTTTTTTTAAAAATCGAAATGTAGTTTGTAAGTTTTGTTGGATCCAATTAGATCCTATTTGTTAATTTCATCATAATGAAATAGGTTCTTTCTTATTTCATTAATCAATAAAGTAAATAACATTAATGGTAAAGTAAACAATGTGTAATGATCAAAAATGCTATTTCTTTGATGTTATTGTTCTATGATATATGAGATGATACAATGTAAATAAAATGAAATTAAGTAAATATGTAATGAATGAGAATAATAGGCGGGAACAAGCGAATCTATATTGAATACAAAATTACAAAATCTGAGAACGATATTGTAAATACTTTATTTGTAAAATGTTAATCAATTGTCTCAGATTTCGTTGTTCTTTTGTTGCCATAGCAACCATGCTTTGTCCTCATACTCTTTCCTTTGATCTTCTTAATCTTCTACCACCAGCCATCTCAAATTCGATTGATGGTACATACTATTTATATCTGTTGGCATCAGTAGCACATGCCACACTCGTCTCCCCTTTAAAGCAATCGTTCTTGCGATGGTTTTGCTCGCCCTGCCACTTCTTTTCTGCAGTCCGTGTCGCACTCTCCGTCAAAATGTCGAAACTGAGGCGCTTTGACCTCCAAAGCTCCAGCGACCTGCCGAGCCATCTACATCCAATATCTGCCTAGCAGCTGCATGTTCCAACGCTCCTCTCCGTCGGAAGCACCAGTCACAGCCAACGGCACCCGAAGGACGATATCCTTCCCTGCTCTTGGTTGGTCGCGACACCAAATGTAGTGAACGAGAGTACAAGTTGGGACAATCGAATGTATTTCAACACGAAATTACAGAATATAATAAAAGAATCTGAGAACCATACAGTAAATACTTCATTTGTAAAATGTTAATCACTTTTCTCAGATTTGATTGTCTCTTCGTTTCCAAACTAATCCTTCTCTGTTCTCGTTCTCATTCTCTTCTCTTCTCTTCTTTCTGATCTTCTTAACCTTGTGCTGCCAGATATTACACTTTCTATTCATCATACATACTACTTATATCTGTCGATATCAGTAGCTCACACCATAAATATGTAGAACTGAAATACTAAATAACTAAATATTGTATTGTATTGATGTGGTTAACTTTCAACTAGTAGATCGCAGGTACCTATTTTTATGCTTTGGATGATCAGGTAATATTATTCGTGTTTATATGAGTTGCGTGAAATAAAGCTGAGTATATAAATCTGTTTTTGGTTGATGATATATCGTTCAGTCAATTTTTAGTTATCTGGTTTTTCATATTCGCGACTGGATTTTGATTAGCTTTTACTGGGGGATATCTGGATTTTGAGTGAAATACCTCAGTATACGACTTTAGTTTTAAGTTTCTGCTTTATCTAGAGCTTACAGTTCTCGATATACCGCGTAGCACTTGGGAACTCCAAGTTGCATGTGAGAAGACAGAAGATGAGTGAGGAAGAATTTTATTCCAAAGAGTGTCGAACATGGTGCAAAACACTTAGGTATTTATGGTTTTTTGTAAAAACAAAATCAGCATTGCAGTGATCCATTCCGTGAGCAGTGGTTTTTAGCATTTGTCCAATCGGGAGGCTACATATCAAGTTTCTGAAATCTTCTCTCAAAAGATGATTGGATGGAATGTCTTCGACTCCTTATGAACTTCTTGAAGCTTCCTTCATTTCGCCCAGGAGATTTACTCACCTTTTTAAAATAGATGGACTCTGGCTAGTGAGGGTTATAAATCTGTGTGTAGAATAATCATTATGGTTTACAGCTGATGGCTAGGGTTAATTCTTAACCCTAGGATTTTCATCAGGAACCGACATAAACCAAAATCGCAAAACACTATTTAGCGAAATTGATAAATGAATTTCGCGCCGAAATCCAAGATTTGTTATCTTAAATCAGATTGGTTCGTCCATAAATTATAGTCTTGCCGAAGCACTCATTAACAATCGTAACAACAACATCACTATGATTTCGGACATAAAATAGTAGGGAAAACGTTAGAGAAATGAGAGATGAAGTGTTACATCGTTGTTAGGTCTACTGTCTAGAAAAACTGACTTTTTCGTCCTCTTATCTAAGTTGAAACAAATAAATTGGTATTCGTAATGAATTGGATTATAGAAACTCCGGTAATCAGTTAAAATATGGCTATGTTTACTAGTACTAATGGATCCATGATGACTAAGAACTAAACTTCAAGCTCACGGCTTATGGGTCAAAATAAAACTTTAGTATATCGACCATTTCATGAATCATTTCAGTGTGGAGAACATAGCTAGTTATTTACAAAGAATTGCATTCTTCAGAAGCTTAAAACAGCCGTCTTAGTTAATTATGAACTACTAAGCACTGTACATCCACGAACCCAGAAGGAGTTGAATAGAAGACCTTCCGGTCTGGTGAAGAAAACCTAACCTACAGACCTTTAATGGTTCACTGTTTCAACAGATGCTGTACTTCTTCAAGCACTGATAGATTTTACTTGCTGTAGACACAAACTCCGTCATGTCTTTGTTTTATCTGTTTACTAGTCTACCATCAGTACGTAGGGACAGAGATGGTTGTTTTAATTTGGTTTACAACTTTGACGAGATAAGCTACTTAGTAAAACGATGAATCCTGTGATATATGAGCTTTGATTTATGACTGAATTTCGTCTTGAAGGCAGAGAAGAGAAACCATCCTACCAATGGTCGGGATAGGTTGGGGAGCGGAGAAAAGGAAAGACAATTTAGCTAGAACTGTATATCCGATTTAATCCTGATTCGAAATAAGTCAAAGAAGGTACATTTAATAAATACACGACAGTGCACAAGGAATGAGAAAATGACAGTAATTTTGAAATAGAATAGAATATAACAGTGATCCAAATATGAAACGAAATAAAGCGAACACAACTTAATGTTAGTATTTTAAACATTTCGGATTGATAGTTGGATTCATGAGTCATTCTAAACTAGGCCACCATTGAAAACCTAGGAGTTTTCAGCAGTGCGCAGCCCCAATCTCGAATCCAAGACTCGAACCAAGGACATTCGGTTATGCACACGAACGAGAATTCAACTACTAAAATTACTACAATGCCCCAAAACCCCTATTCTGATCATAATCATCATATACTCACTAGTGACTACCTACAAGATAGATTTCTTGGAGTTCAAGGGAGAAGTTGTGACCAGTAGAGTCTAGTCCGTGTCGGATAGAGACAGGTATCTACCTTAGATAATGGATAAATAGTTGCACAAGACCATGGATCTATTGAAATTAGATATGAACATTCGCACCCAAGACCGGAGCTCCTGAATTTGAGTCCCGAATGAGGGGTCGTTTTTTCTGGTAAGCGTTTTTTTAGCGAGTTGGCTTTCTACGAGATGGGGATGCTAACCCCATGCCCAACCCTCCTCCTTTACCCGGGCTTGGGACCGGCAGTAACTCTAGAAGAGCTACAGAGCTACAAAGGGAAAACCAAGATCCTCAAATTCAAAGCGGAGAACAGCAATCCAATCACTCTTGATGGCGAAACTCTGGAAGGTGTAGAGTCCTTCACATACCTAGGAAGCATCGTCGATGGACAAGGAGGTTCAGATGCAGACGTAAAGGTGAGGATTGGCAAAGCAAGGGTCGCATCCCTACAGTTGGATAACATATGGAACTCAAAACAACTTTCAACCAATATCAAAGTGTGAATCTTCAATACGAACGTCAAGTCAGTTCTACTGTATGGAGCTGAAACTTGGAGAACTACTACAACCAGCAGCAAGGAGGTACAAGTATTTATAAATAGCTGTCTTCGCAAGATACTCAACATCCATTGGCCAGATACCATCAGCAATAGCCTTCTGTGGGAGAGAACAAATCAGCTTCCAACTGAAGAAGAAATTAGGAAAAGGCGATGGAAATGGATAGGACATACATTACGCAAAGCGTCAAGCTGCATCACGAGGCAAGCCCTAACTTGGAATCCTGAAGGGAAGCGGAAAAGAGGAAGGCCAAAGAACATATTACGTCGGATAATAGAAGCAGATATGAAAACGAAGAATTACAACTGGACGGAGCTAGAAAGGATTACCCAGGACAGGGTTGGATGGAGAATGCTGGTGAGCAGCCTATGCTCCTTCACGAGGAGTAACAGGCGTAAGTAAGTAAGTAAGTAATGAGTGGTCGTGAGTTCACACAGCTGAGGAGTCCCACGCCAGGACAAAATGGCCGATCAGTGGTTCCAGGTTTCCAGTAGTTGTCTAGCTTGGATAGATTC